AGTATTGGATTGATTTGTTGTTCTAGTCAATCTGCCATTTTTGTTTATTTGACTTATTGACTTTTGCCATTGACTTATTACACTTCTTGGTTTCAAGTCATTGACCTATATACTGTCTTTTGTGTCAAAATCACTGGTGTGGTGTGGTGTGGTGTGGTGTGGTGTGGTGTGGTGTGGTGTGTAAGATTTAATAATTACCATAATCAAAAGAACTTAATATTTCTTGTCAGGAATTTGGTTCAAAGAATATTATTTGAGCATACATCGGGACGCAATAGAATTTTTTTTCTTTTCTGCGTCCATTCTGTACAATTGTGTGTACTGGGCTTATATTTCTGCATCACGTAAAACACTGCTAAATGTGAAGTACGGCCAATGGCATTCAGAGATTAGAGTTGTAACACTTTGATGCTGACATTCGAAGGATCATTACTGAAAATGGAACCATAACCACATGTACTTGAACAGTATTCCATTTATATTACGGCGTGTCAGCTTGATGTGGGGGGAAAGCCCGAAGTGATACAGGTTTTAGCACATTGACAACTGACCCGTGAAGATTCCGGGGTAGAACAGGTCTTCAGCAACCCATAATTGCCGTAAAAGGTGACTATGCTTGTTGTAAAAGGCGACTAACGGGATCGGGTGGTCAGGCTCGCTGACTTGGTTGATACATGTCATCAATCCCAATTGCGTGGATCGATGCTCATGATATCAATCATTGGATTGTCTGGTCCAAACTCGATTATTTACAGACCGCCGTCATATAGCTGGAATATTGCTGAGTGCGGCGTTAAACAACAAACCAACCAACAACCAACCAACCGACATTGACAACTTAGGTAAAACCCATGAGCACAGTTATGGTGCTGACAAAACTAGAAACATAATCGGGGGGAGCTAGATTCAAAACAACAATTACAGTTTTCTGGAATGCCCAAGCAAGGCATTCCTGCACAGTGCATTGTGGCACCTTAGTTGACTGGGCCACCTGTGCCCCCAAAATATAATATGAATTTGTAAGGGTATACAGGGAAGGTGGTCACCTAAGATAACAGAATACCTTTAAAACTTGTGCAGGAAATAGCTGTCTCTCTATAACAGGCTTATGAGACACTAGTATTAAAGGCTTTGTACGACCCAGCCAAACCTTTTGGTTTGTATCAGCAATGAAGCCACCTCATCGCTCATTTACATGATTAACATCATGAGAATTGGGTCAAGTGAATTTTAACAACTAAAGTGTTTATGTACAATTGCTATGTACTGTAAATCATTAAAATGTATCTAGAAAGAAAAATATATCATCTGCTGAAACTATCTGGCCCACATTCTATCTATATTTGCCAAAAATACTCCTTTTAAGAGTAACCAAATGTATTGATCACTATTCAGACAGTGTGGACTACAAAGTTGTCATTCTTCTGGTACCTTCGTATGCCCTCCATGTGCAGCAGTTCTAGACATGATAAGCAGGGGTTTTGATAAGCCTTTTAAGTTCACTTGCCCAATCTTGTCTATTCATCAATTTCAGTAGATTTCAATGTTAATATAGGGAACAACAAATATGCTGGACAAATACTAGTGAAATTTGACCACCCTTTTCATGCTTTTGCTGTCCCAGATGGCTGGTGATGTCATCATGATAAATAGGGACAATGCCACTTAGGGACACTTACTTCAGCTACTTGTAAACTACTGTAATAAATTGGTTACATTTCTGGCTATAACGATTTGTCTGACAGTTGCTTAATTGGCAAGAGGGACAAATAAATAATGTTAACTTGTTACTTATTAATTTTTGTGTGTAAGTTTTACTGTTGCAATATATTTCAAAATTCACAATTTAAAGGATACATTATGAATTGGGGTTGGATCAAAATAGGCTGGCAGATTCTATTCGCCAGACAGACTGGCCTTAGTGGCTTTGTCTATATTTTATAATGGAAAGTAATGTCCAAGACTCTTATTAATGGGCACAAATGCTCCTAAAAAATGTGTCAGTACAAAAAGGGAATTTGTTTTGTAATAAAAGTTTTTCGTATCAGGTTCACAAGTTAAGACAAAGCCAGGAGGATCCTGAGATTTTAGAGTATGGTGTATTAATGTAGGCATACCTTAAATATTTTATCTTTAACACAATGGCAAGGATCTCTTGATCATTATCATTAATTTTGAAAACAAATAGAACACCAGTTGTGAATGACCCCAAAGGTTTCGCCTTATCAAAATACAAATCCCATGCAGCTTGACTCCCCAACCAACTGTCCAGTACAGGTGATCCTGGGAGATCACTGCCCACTGGTCAACACAGGTCAGAGATAAGAAAGCATCATAAAACAATTAACTCCAAATAACAGCAGGAGATGGGGTCAATTAAGGCCAATGATCAGTGTATCTAGGATAATCCTATCAGGTCAATTACTTGTGTAAAATGCACTGAGCAGGCTGAATAAGCATCAAGCAAACATGCATTATGCAATGCGGCTGACTGCACAGACAAGAATAACAGGATTGTAGAGCATGGGGCGAGGTTCACTGTCCTCAGCAGGTGCTGCAGTTCGGTCAGAGTGTTCTGAAGAAGCAACTCAAATGGGAGATATAGTATTCTACAACAGTCTGAGACTTCAGCTACCAGTCTGAAGCCAGAGTCGAGTAAAGTTCTGTTCAATCTAGTAAGGTCAGCCAAATAAATACCACAGACTGAAACACACATCCCACATCTCATGCACGCAGCAGCATATTGATTGTCCAGGAATAATAACTGTCGGATGTAATCTAGAACATCTTGCTGTATCCCAAATAAATGTTGTGCAGTCTTTATTATTTTACTCTACAGTCAGCAATATTTCCGCCATTATCATAGCGGCCTGTAAGTAGTCTGGGACGTCACTGGAACATCATGGTATGCAACCAACAAATCATGACCACTGGATCCATTTAGTCATCTTACAGTTGATATATATACCCTTTCAGCTGTACTTCAATTGACAAAACCAGGATTTAAAACTGCTTAAAAAATAAAACTGATACCATTTTGTATAATAAATTTGAGTACATTAGTCTATACTGAATAATCATCTATCCTTCTGATACAGATCTATGAAGACAGTTTCAATATTGAATCAAAACACATTAGTACTATGGGTAGTATTCACCCAAAGGCTACAATGGATATTTAATTAAAATTGTTGAGACCATTATTTTAGTCAAACTGTCCAAACTATACTTCATCTATGTTCTATACACTAGATGAATGTTGTTATTTGATATGTTATCGGAATAAGTACTGGTGGACTAAAACAGTTTTTATAACTGGAAGTGATCCAGGTCTCAGACGTTTACTACTTTGGTGAAACCTATGAGGACAATATAAGTGATTAATCTGGGATTCCAAACAAGGAATGGGACAATTTTTTCAAAATTTGGATTTTTAGTTAAAGTACTTATTGTCTAAAATTAGGATGCATTATAGAATTGCACTCAATGCAATAGTGTAAAAATTTGTCCTAAGCCTTTTCGATCCTCTTTATTGGTCATGTTATTAGTGAAATAGAAGTCACCCATACAAAGTGACAAATACATAGTTGGTTATAACCATAACTTCATGTACATGAAGTGGGAAATTTATAATAACATTGGCTGCAGACTTGGGGCCGAATATCGGCCTCTGGGCAAACATACATAAATCCATGAGTATGCTGAGAAACCTAGAAACATCAACGGGGCAAACCGAGATTCAAACCCAGGATTATAGGTTTCTTGCATGCCCAAGGAACACAACTCTACACAGCAAATGTCGTCAACTCAGATGACTGGGCTACCTGTGCCCCTGTAAATGTTTTAGGAACTAATATCATGACTATCTGCTGAGTTTAATCCTCTTACTTTTCATGATCTTCATAATAACAAAGGTAATTAATCACAGTATTTCATTCCATGTTCATACCACAGTGTGCAAAACAAACGGTAGACCTATGGCCAGAGGCAATCAATATTCTGATCAGTCTATGATGTGAGAAACTAAGCTGGACCGACTGTCTATGTTGATTAAATTGAAGGATCAGTTATAATGTCAGAACGATAATTTTGTTTACACATTCTAACATTGTCCAGACTGCTCATCTTGTTGATTTGACAACATCTACTCATTTATCCAGCTTAAAATGCAACAAGAAATATGTTCAAAAAAGGTCTTTAATTCTTGCTCCCAGATGCACCATTTGCAGTCTACATTTTAAAAGTCTTAAAGGGTGCATGCCCCTGTACTCCCCAAGAGGGACGAATTGAATAGCGTCTTGTGTGTTGGGTGGTCCACCATCAAAGGTTCTGGGGGTACCAGAATATATTTCTTGATAGCCCAATGGGCTACATGTGATACTTCTTTGTAGTCATACACTGATGCCAGTGACATGGTCCCCATTTCAATACTTTCAATAATATGAACATTACAATCAATTATGTTATACATGTTCATGAAATGCACATGTAATTTTCCTGTCATTCTTACTCTTAGATAAGTTAGAATGAAATCTACTCAAAAGCCTTCATAATTGGTCTTCTCCACATGTGCATGAAGCAAACTACACTGAATATATTTAATATTATATTTCAAATTCTGCAATGCTTAGTGTCAACACACACTTGATTTCACTCATGCGGCTATGTGGCTTGTATACATGGTATGTGTAAAAACAATGTCAGCTGTATGTAGCAGCTTTATCCAATATATTTGCATTGGACTGTTTGGGTGAAACTGCATTGGACTTTTTCAATGTAATTTCTGAAGGTATACAGTGTATCAGTCAACACTTGTGTTGTGTCTTTTGGCTATTCATTTAGGATTGTTATTAGAAAGCTAACATCAAAATGTTGTTTTGACAACAGTAAGTTATTGTTTAGATATATGAAGCACTTAGCAGATGTAACAGATAAATATTTCTATATATACTGGATAACCTAAATTAACTGTGTTATGTTTGAAGATAGTGGGAACTTACTGTTGCTTGACTTGAGATCTCTGTGTATCAATGGTAGCGGTGCTTCCTCGTGTAAATAATGCATTCCTTTGGCTATCTGAAATGCCCAATCAACTAATATATCTGGAGGTATCCGTCTTCCATTTAACACTCTGTTAAGTGATCCACCTGCTGCATATTCCATTACAAGACACAGGTTTGGTTCCTTGAGACACACCCCTCTCAATGCTGCAATATTAGGGTGATTTAGGAGCCAGAACAATTTGGCTTCCTTTCGAACATCGTCGATGACAGGCTCGTCTGGATCTTGCCTGGCAGCCTTGACAGCAACAGTTTCTTCCTTCCATATTCCACGATAAACTTTTCCAAAACCACCAACACCTATCACTTCTTCTAACTGTAATTCTGAGAAGTTGATTTCAAAGGGTCTGTCAGATAGTTTGTTATGAGGTACAAGGGCACAGTTGTCTGCCTCTTTGGTGACAAAGTTACTTGGGAAAATCCCAACATTTTCTTGAACTTTCCCAATCCACCACCCATCATCTCCTGAATACCGGGCATCAGTGGACAACACTTCCACCTGCACCCCTCTCTTTAGTGTCAACTCATCTTCTCTTGTGGCCTCATAGTCAAAGATGGCAGTCCATAATGGACTGTTATCATTTTCTTCCCTTCCACGAGGTCCATAGTTTCTAGAATTGGGTTCCATCGAAGCTGAAATCATAGCATTTCGAGTTCGATGGAATCAAATATGACCCAATCTCGCACAGAGAACACATATCTAATCCACCCTGGTGAGGTGGGAACCGACATGCAAATGTAGATTCTGACATCCAGTTTTGACAGATACAAAAACACGTTAAATTGTTAGTTTCAATACATCGATTCCAGCCATCACCTTTCCTAGAACCCAAAAGGCTAAGTCTGTGCCATAATAGGGTTCACCTCACCTCTGGATGCCGTGAAAATCCGTGTTTATCACCATTGTCCAGTCAATTTGGGCCTCCGCCGCCATTTTGTGTACTTTGACCTTGAGTTATGGCTATATGTGGATTAAATAACTTTTATCAGTGTTGTTACACAATTCAAATCATCTCCAAAACCATGAATACAAACTTCCCGATCTCAAATTGGATTACAAAGTAGGCAAAACAGACTCTTAGGGGCGAAAAACTCCGCGCAAGGTGCGAGAACTCCAAGTCTCGTTCAAACTCGTTGATCGCGTGATTACACGAGATTGTTTGCCTTGGGTGAATCCGGAAGATGGACGACGAGAACAAATGAAACGAATGAGAAAAATGCCTGTATTCGACGGTCAATCCACGATGGTGAAATAGCGAAACCATAGCGGAGACACCCATCAATGGGTTCCCATATCTTAGACATCCTTGGTCAGGGAATATGGGCTTCCTTGACCGGGGGGTGGTTTTACGACCCCCGTCAGAGTATCTTTTGCAACACTTTCCACCTTTACCTGTGGATGTTTTTCCTCGCATTTCCACTAATTCTACACCTTGTAAGTTGACTCTGTTGCTTCCCATCAACGTTTATCATGAATGATACTGGTATGATTCAAAGATTTGTTTGAAAAATTAATATTAACTCCCTTAATTACGAACTGGTGTAAATATGCATGGTGATTCCTGAAAATGAAATGTCATTGTCACATGTAGGCCTGATGAAGTCGAAGCAGTAAGCTATGGTATTATATCCAGAAGTATAAACTCTGCCCTTAATTCTTAAAATTGTGGTAAACGTGGTTACATTAAGAAGGTTTTTAGATATATTGATCAGAACATATTCTACATGTCCTACAGGTAGGCCAATTCAAATGTCAATTTTTGAGACTTTTTTTATATTAGATCTATATTTACCTTCTAGAAATACTATAGTACAGGCTGTGTGTAGCTTAATAATTGTGGACAGATTAGGTAGGGCAGGCTACCTGGTCCTCTACTGTCCTAACCTTTATGGAAAATAATCAACATCATTGGTTAATGTTCTGTGCTGAAAATACTGAAGCACAAAAATGTAAGTTAAGGTATCTATGCTTCATAAGTACCTAAGTTTGTGATATTTTCAAACATGCTAGCATCTTATCATATTCAGCATGTTCTATTCATTGCACCTAATGTTTTGTCCAACACTAGAAGACATATTTTAGGAACCATGTACAGTCCTTATTCAAGATTTAACAAGCAGTAGGATTCTTTGTTAATGCAGTGTAGTAAATTAACTTTAAATGATAGAATTACCTTTCCTTGGCATTGTGAATTCATACTTTTCCTTTAGTTGCATTTCAAACAAGTTTGACCTATTAATGGAGCGTGCTTTATGTATCTTGGCAGGTAGATAGCAACATTGTCCAGTTCAGCAGTTTTGTTTAATGTCAGTATTGCCCCAGGGTGTGTGTTTAATGGGTCTTATGGACCCCTGTTCTTTCAGGACACTGGCGGATGTTATGACATTTCAGGATCTTCAAGAATCCATAGCATCCTTAAAAATATAAACAATGATAATGTCATTGCTTACGAACTTTGCATTGGGGATTTAGTCACAGCAAACCTGAATTATTGAATCACTGCAATGTCATTATTCAAATTTGCTCTTGTCATATATGTAATTAAACCCAAAACCCCAAATCATACCTGTGCTCTTTGTGCTTTTCTCTCATACTGTCAAGTAAAAGTCATAACTATTTATTGCTCTAATGCTTAGTATTAAGGCCATTATGATATTCAAGTGATTATGCTGCCTACCATCGACAGGTTTTTAGATATTATTAATGTATAGCTTGTGCTAGTCACAATATGGCTGAAAAATTGCTGATGTGACTTGACATTTTAACCACTCACTCACTCTCACACAAAGCTGAGAAAGAGGTCAATGTCAAGGTTAATCATTGGTGCAATGTCAAGAATAATCGTTCATCCAAAGTTAGCCCCCCTTTTTAATCAAATATCTATATTATAGTTTACTTATGTCAAAGGCCACAGTAGATTTCACTGCCTATCACTTAGAAAAGATTAGTGAACAGAATACGTAAAGAAATATCCCACCTTGTAAGTGATTGCCTCTCAAGATGACCTTTATAGTTACTACATGAAATGCTGGTGGAATGTCTATCAAAGGTCAAGGTCATCTTTTGGGTTAATGTGAGATATGGTTGGGTCATTTATTTGTTGGTAATTGTTGAATCTAAAGCTGTTGTCTTGATTAAGGTCATAGTCAGAGCCCTATTTCACAAAACCTTAACACTAAGTGAGCATGAGTCTTAAGTTTTTACCTTAGACATTTGTAAGGTTGACATCCTCTGGCATGAAACCTTACTAAAGTTAACCTTAGTTATGATCAGAACCTGAGGCCAACCTTAACACAATAAGGTTTATATAATGTTTGTATTTATTAAAGATATTTTTTTTAAAAAAGGGATTTGTTTTATATGTCAGACAGAGGCAGCAAAAAATATTTTGTATCAATTATGAATTATGTGCATACTCCAATGTTCCATCTGCTCCCACACAAACATATAGATATATGTGTTAAGAGCAAGTAAAATCAACATAGCCACTTTGCAGATTTGGATACATTAGGGAATATTTATCCACAAACTCTTGTCCAAAATTAAAATTGAAAAACGGAAATACTGTAAAACAGACGAAGTCGTCCCCCAAATGAAAACTTCCACCACTGAGGGGATTCCCTTTACGAGAGTTATAATGGGTACCCGTTGTTTGAGGCATTGTTCAATTGCAACGATAAAGACAATCAGGTCAGTGCCCAGTCTTCCTGAATCTGCCTCAGATTTCTTAATACATTACATCTTTTTCTGTCTGCTCATCCATGTCGACAACTTATGTCACCTTAGTAACAACACTTTAGAGGCCTTCAGACCTCAGTTAACTCGGGGATTAATCCCTGAGGGGCATTTTTTGTGTGGAAAAGGGCCAAAGGCAGCTGGTGTTTTTTAACCCAAACATAATTTTAGTAATGGAACGCTGGTTATTGTTTAATTATTATTTTATTTATTCACAATGTCAAGATCAAAGGTCAGTTCAACAACGTATGCAATGTTTTTATTTTTCTAGGATTAACAGAAATAGCAGAAACAGTATATGTATAACGGCTAAGAATCACAGGATAGATAAACACAGCAAACGTATCAGCCAATGAAAACAGTTGTCACCGTTGTGTCGGTAGCTTTAAGGCCACTACCCCAAATATGTTTGTTTTGGAAGCTGATTACGGAGCATTTCATTTCAGCACTTTCACTTGAACATTTAAATACTTACTACTAATATTATTAATTTTTCTATCTCGGAAATTGACTAAATGTATCGAGGCATGAGTCTTTTTTTCGTCTCATATTCTTTCTGCGACTGGAATCATATTTTGTTAGGTCACAGGGAACTGCTCTAACTTATATACACCTTGTTTATCCAGAATTTGTTGTGCTATATTTTACCTAGGATTAATTAAAAACAATGTAAACACATGCAATTATAAAAGATAAGTTACAATTTGGTAGAAGTTATCCATAGTTTCATAACAGTTCTGTTTAGAAATTACATTTGACGATTATGTAAGTCTAAAACATCGGCACTTACAAATTGTTTGAAAAAGGCAGTGAAATCTAAACTGTCCTGTTTTTGACAGTATCTCAAGTAATGATTTCAACAGATGTTGCCATACTGACATATGATCCCAACCTTAGCGCTAAGGTTGACACACTAAGTTAATTGCTTTGTGAAATCAAACTTCAGACTAAGGTTGCAAACACAAATTGACAATGTCTGAATGGCAAACAACAAAGACCAAGCTGTAATATTGCTGTGGATATTTTATATGCCCTGTTTTTTTCTGAACACTTTTTATCTACATCCAAAGAGTATCATGAGAGTATTTGTGTTCTGTATGGGTTTTCATGTGGTCAGTATTTCTGAGTGAGTGAGTGTGTTAGATTTTAGGCAGTTCTTACTAGTTTTGGCAACATTCAAGCAGTATCATGGCAGGGGACACCAGAAATGGGTTTCACACATTGTACCCATGTGATGAATCGAACCTGGGGTCTTTGGTGCGACAGGGTGGTCGGGTAGCCTAGTGGTTAAAGCGTTCGCTCGTCGTGCCGAAGACCCGGATTCGATTCTCGACATGGGCACAATGTGTGAAGCCCATTTCTGGTGTCCCCTGCTGTGATATTGCTGAAATATTGCTAAAAGCAGCATAAATCTATACTCGCTCACTACTCTCTCACTTTGGTGCGACAAGTAAACACTTTAACCACTAGGCTACCCTACCGCCCCCACTATTTCTAAAACGAGGCAGTAAAAAATTAAGCTGAAACAAGCTGACATCTTGATTCTCCGAATGTGACCAAAAGGCAGACAGGTGTAAAAGCACCATTTTAACTGTAGTTGTCAAAAAGACCGGGATAAGTGTGCTTATCCCTTTAAAGAAATATGCTTAAAATAACAATATTATTGACTGCAATAACACCATCAGCTCTATTGGAGCATACTAGAGGGGTTCAATAGGATCATAGGATTACCAAGAGTTGGGTTGAATAGATTAAGTGAATTAGATTTACAAGTAAACTAGCTGCAAAAGATTTAGATTGCTATTTAACTGTCACAAATTGTTTTAAAGTGCAATTGTGCAAGTAAACATGATTAAAGAAAAAAGAAATCAATTTTACCTATTTTGCAGAGTTGTAGTAGGAATCCTTTGTGATGTGCATTATCAGATATGACACTCCTTTCTGTAAATTAGACTTCAATTCTTTGCCTTACATTCAATGTAGGTGGTCAAATTTTTAAGAAAAAAACAACTTTCAGATTGGCATTGCTACTTCTGAATGAAAAACAAGCCTGTATGTAACACATCATGGAAGTACGACAGCAAAACATTTACAAAAGACAACCAATAGTTTTTTAGTTAGAACAAAGATTTTTTACACATATTCTGATTTTCTAATCAAAAGTTCATTTTAGTCGCAATGTCTATTCTCCACGACAAGTTCACCATTCAGGCTTTGTAACATGGCTGATTGCATATTATCATACCCAGGTCATGCTTTATGTCACTAGTTTGAGTGGATATGTTGACGTCATACACCTGGATAGGTTGACGTCATACACCTGGATAGGTTGACGTCATATACCTGGATAGGTTGACATGGTATACCTTGATAGGTTGACGTCTTATACCTAGATAGGTTGACATGGTATACCTTTATATGTTGACATCATATACCCGGATAGGTTGACGTCATACACCTGGATAGGTTGACGTCATATACCTGGATAGGTTGACATGGTATACCTTGATAGGTTGACGTCTTATACCCAGATAGGTTGACATGGTATACCTTGATAGGTTGACGTCTTATACCTAGATAGGTTGACATGGTATACCTTTATATGTTGACATCATATACCCGGATAGGTTGACGTCATACACCTGGATGAGTTGACGTCATATACCTGGATTGGTTGACGTCATACACCTGGATAGGTTGACGTCATATACCTGGATAGGTTGACGTCATGTACCTGGATAGGTTGATGTCATATACCTGGATAGTTTGACGTGGTATACCTGGATAGGTTGACGTCATATTCCTGGATAGGTTGACGTCATATACCTGGATTGGTTGACGTCATACACGTGGATAGGTTGACGTCTTATACCTGGATAGGTTGATGTCATATACCTGGATAGTTTGACGTGGTATACCTGGATAGGTTGACGTCATATTCCTGGATAGTTTGACGTCATATACCTTGATAGGTTGACGTCATATACCTGGATAGGTTGATGTCATATACCTGGATAGGATGACGTCATACACCTGGATAGGTTGACGTGGTATACCTTGATAGGTTGACGTCATATACCTGGATAGGTTGACATCATATACCTGGATAGGATGACGTCATGTACCTGGATAGGTTGACGTCATATACCTGGATAGGTTGACGTCATATACCTGGATAGGTTGACGTCATATACAAGGATAGGTTGACGTCATATACAAGGATAGTTTGACGTGGTATACCTTGATAGGTTGACGTCATATACCTGGATAGGTTGACATCATATACCTGGATAGGATGACGTCATACACCTGGATAGGTTGACGTGGTATACCTGGAAAGGTCGACGTGGTATACCTGGATAGGATTGTCGTCATATACCTGGATAGGTTGACCTGGTATACCTTGATAGGATGACATGGTATACCTTGATAGGTTGATGTGCTATACCTGGATAGGTTGACGTGGTATACCTGGATAGGTTGACGTCATATACCTGGATAGGTTGACGTCATATACCTGGATTGCTTGCTGTCATATACCTGCATAGGTTGACGTCATATACCTGCATAGGTTAACATCATATACCTGGATAGGTTGACGTGGTATACCTGCATAGGTTGGTGTGGTTTACCTGGATAGGTTGACATTGTATACCTTGATAGGTTGATGTGGTATACCTGGATAGGCTGACATGGTATACCTTGATAGGTTGACGTGGTATACCTGGATAGGTTGACGTCATGTACCTGGATAGGTTGATGTCATATACCTGGATAGGTTGACATCATATACCTGGATAGGATGACGTCATACACCTGGATAGATTGACGTGGTATACCTGGATAGGTTGACGTGGTATACCTGGATAGAGTGACATCATATACCTGGATAGGTTGATGTCATATACCTGGATAGGTTGACGTCATATACCTTGATAAGTTGATGTGGTATACCTGGATTGGTTGACGTCATGTACCTGGATAGGTTGATGTCATATACCTGGATAGGTTGACGTCATATACCTGGATAGTTTGATGTGGTATACCTGGATAATGTGACATCATATACCTGGATAGGTTGACGTCATATACCTGGATAGGTTGACGTCATATACCTGGATAGGTTGAATTCATTGCCTGGATAGGTTGACCTGGTATACCTTGATAGTTTCACATCATATACCTGGATAGGTTGACTTGGTATACCTGGATAGCTTGATTTCATACACCTGGATGGGTTGATGTGGTATACATGGATAGGTTGACATCATATACCTGGATAGGTTGACGTCATATACCCGGATAGGTTGACGTCATATACCTTGATAGGTTGACGTCATATACCTTGATAGGTTGACGTCACATACCTGGATAGGTTGATTTGGTGTACCTAGATAGAGTGACATGATATACCTGGATAGGTTGACATCATATACCTGGATAGGTTGAAGTCAAGAACCTGGATAGGTTGGCTTCATATACCTGGATAGGTTGACGTGGTATACCTTGATAGGTTGATGTGGTATACCTGGATAGGTTGATGTGGTATACCTGGATAGGCTGACATGGTATACCTGGATAGGTTGACGTCATATACCTGGATAGGTTGACGTCATACACCTGGATAGGTTGATGTGGTATACCTGGATAGGTTGATGTCTTGTACCTGGATAGATTGATGTCATATACCTGCATAGGTTGACGTCATATACCTTGATAGGTTGACGTCATATACATTGATAGGTTGACGTCATATACAAGGATAGTTTGACGTGGTATACCTGGATAAAGTGACATCATATACCTGGATAGGTTGATGTCATATACCTGGATAGGTTGACATCATATACCTGGATAGGATGACGTCATACACCTGGATAGATTGACGTGGTATACCTGGATAGGTTGACGTGGTATACCTGGATAGAGTGACATCATATACCTGGATAGGTTGATGTCATATACCTGGATAGGTTGACGTCATATACCTGGATTGGTTGACGTCATACACCTGGATAGGTTGACGTCATATACCTGGATTGGTTGACGTCATGTACCTGGATAGGTTGATGTCATATACCTGGATAGTTTGACGTGGTATACCTGGATAGGTTGACGTCATATTCCTGGATAGTTTGACGTGGTATACCTTGATAGGTTGACGTCATATACCTGGATAGGTTGACGTCATATACCTGGATAGGATGACGTCATACACCTGGATAGGTTGACGTCATACACCTGGATAGGTTGACGTCATATACCTGGATAGGTTGACGTCATATACCTGGATAGGTTGATGTCATATACCTGGATAGGTTAACGTCATATACCTGGATAGTTTGACGTGGTATACCTTGATAGGTTGACGTGGTATACCTGGATAGGTTGACATCATACACCTGGATAGGTTGACGTCACATATAACTAGAATATTGCTCCCGCATTCAGTTTGTGAGTTGAACCAATGTGAAGGGTTTGAGATTTCACTGATTGTTATTCATAGAAGATGCTTTTTATGTTATGAGAAGTATTTTATTTCCATTTATAAATACATCATATGCCAACATAAATCTTTACAGGATTTTTTATTTGTACACAGTGAAGTTGATTTGTTATAATATTTATTCATGTCATTGTTACATCAGTAAGGAAATAATGATGCACCAATAGTTTCAGTTTTCAAGAGAGTAATAAATAGGATAAAGTGAAAAAATATGTCAATGATTTAATTGTAAAGTGACATTTATTATCCCCCCCACCATGAAGGGGAGGGGGATATAGGAACGGGTGCTATCTGTCCGTTTTATTTGCGGAGCATAACTCAGAAACTGGTTAAAATTTTATTATGAAACTTTGCATGTGTATCAAACACATGGTGGACTGGTGACTTTTGATGTTTGGATGTGTTTCCTTAGCAGTCCCCGACTTCGACTCAAATACATGTTTTTTTAGTTTCATTGTTTTACTTCGTACGGTGGCTACACTGAGGACAAGTCTTCTCAGAAACTACTGAAGTTACATGAATAAAACTTGGCATGCTTATATAAGAAATACTTGTCAAGACTTAGTTAAAAGATTAATGCCATAAGTTTTCCTTCTTCTGGCGTTACCCACCCTTTCTTCATGTATATTCACTTGTACAGTCAAACACTTGTGTTGAACATTGATGTGTGGAACTTGAGGTTGACTTGAAGTAAAAGCTTTGTCCCTGTGTATTCCTTCTTTATTCATCATTTTCGGTTGTCAAACCTTGGATAACTCAAAGTATTTATGTAGGTCCCTACAACTTCGACACAACAGTGTTAGACGGTATATAAACAAACAAAATTCTAACGTGACCCATGACTGGAGATTCAGTAGTGATAACTGTGTTTTCTTGTTAAGAGTGACTTTTGTTCCATAGTGTAAGTTTTACAATTTATCATTGCTCAACAATGAGTCATTTTATATGTGATTGTTGAGAAGTATTTCTAGCTGAAACTGTATTGCTAGCTGAAACTGTTGCGATATATTGCAATACATAGTGGCAATATTACAATATTTATTGCAGTCTAGCAACTGGTCCAAAGCAAGATACTAGTAAAAGTCTGTTTGGCCTTGTGAGCTAAGCTTAAAACAGTCCATATAATAACACTAAAGTCTACTGAAAATTATGCTAAGAGCAATGTTCAGGCTCGTAGACTCTAAGAGTTTCTTGCACCGATATTGATACATGTTGAAAATGCCTTTTTAATAAGAAAGGATAATTTCAAGACATAGATATTGAGTTGCACTTTTCAATAATAGGTTCCACTAGTGCATGGTTTATATAGCTAAACTGATCCCTGAGTTTCCACTTCACATGTTTAAGAGACCTCTTTAAGAGATAAATATGTTTGTATAGCTGTTGACCCCATGAACACGGAACAAGCTGTCATCTTAAGGACAGAGGGATGGTTTAGTGCACTATGTTGCCCTGTTTTCTATCTTCAGTATTAGGACGTTTTGCACAGACAAGTCCTAACATTATTTTTTTTGTGACACAAAAAGACTTTACAAATGGATAATTTACCCTGAAATTTTGTGACCTCCTTCAAAGTAATTCATCTGTTTATTGTTTGAAAAATAATTGAAATCTGTTTGAAAAAACATTGTGTGTGATATATTTATGATCACAAATCCTTGTTATCTCTCTTGCAACTATCATCTGCTTCTGGTCGAGGTGAATATGCTTGATTCCAGAACAATGTGAACGGAAATATATATGAATCTGCATGGCCTGGAATTTTGGAGAGGGGCCCTTGAAGTTCTTTTGAAGTTCTGTATGGACCCTGATATTTGTCAATCAACTTTATTCATTCAGTATTGTAGGCCATAGGCCCATGATACAATGGTAATACAGGTAGTTGGAGACTCAGGGTGCCAGCTTGTTTCTAATACACATTGCTTTACATATGTACATCGATAGGTTTTTAATGGTGTATTCGTTAGTGGACAACATTAATACATTAAACTTGTCTCTAGTATGTTACAAGTTTAATGTATTAATGACGTCTATAATGATAATTGTCTTGTCTGTATGATGTCCCGTCGAAGTGATTCCTTCATCCATTCTTCCCTTGTAGACCTTGAAACCGTCAGTCCTGGTATGGACAGTGTACTGTGGAGTCATTGCCTTGCTGTTCCTCCTCGTCAAGGTGGTCAACTTCAGGCTTCATCATATGTATGACACCGGTGATGTGGATGAAGATGAGCCTAAGTCGGACAAGGGAAGCAAGGCCGGCTCCACTGATTTGGCTAAAAGTATTGAAATCAGGTAATTATAAAGGAAAAGATTATCAAGCTTTGTGATTGCTTTCAATTTGTTGTTCATTTTTCATATTTTTTACTTATCCTGCATTACACCTTAATGCATTCACTGCTTACCTTACAATCATTTTGTTTCATTTATGGTGATGGTCCATTCATTTTCTAGTGCAGTAATCAAATAGTATTAAATTATTATTGTAATATACAAGGCTAAAAAAGAAACTGAAATGAACATATCATAATCGTGATTAAAGATATGATTTTGGAGTTTTGACAATTATGTGACTGTTTTTGGTGACCATTATGATCAATACTGACCATCTATTTCAGGGATAATGCAAATTCTGAAAGTATTGAAATGGTTCAACTTGACCGAAGAAGGGAGACAACTCCAGCTTTGGAGGGTGAACATGGATCCAGACTAGAGTTTATTTCTGAAATAAAGTCAGCAGAAAATTCAGGAGCCCACACTGACAGTAAGATCCTCTCTCAGAATGTGTTGCATATTGTACTCTATATTGGGTAGACACACTGTCTTTGAAATGTTGCGATGGAACTATTTGCACATCAAGATTGGTTGGTTGGTTGGTTTGTTGTTTAACGCCGCACTCAGCAATATTCCAGCTATATGACGGCGGTCTGTAAATAATTGAGTCTGGACCAGACAATCCAGTGATTAATATTATGAGCATCGATCCACGCAATTGGGATGGATGACATGCATCAACCAAGTCAGCGAGCCTGACCACCCGATCCTGTTAGTTGCCTTTTACGACAAGCATTGTCACCTTTTACGGCAAGCATGGGTTGCTGAAGACCTATTCTACCCCGGAATCTTCACGGGTCTGCACATCAAGAACAGTGTTGCCACATTACCAGTGTTTCATTCATGATATTGATTTATTTCAGTTTATAAAACAAAATTTGATTTTAATCAGTCATACTAATTGATTGGAATTCTTTGTTTGGCCAAAAATCTTTTCTACAGAATTTCTATGTCGTACTTTATGATTTTTTATCTTGTTTTCTTTTCAGTTAAATCATCTCATGGAGTTGCTCCCCTTGCTGAAATCGAGGGTGATGATTTCAGTACCGAGACAGGGTCAGCGTCCAGACACAGGCCAGACAGCACAGAGAGCAGTCTGGAGAGTATGTCATTCCTACACTTAGCACTTCCAACAGTCTCCTGTCAGAGTATTAGTTATAGGGATCACTCATTTCACTGCATGTCTTGGACAACCAAGTAGTATGAACAGTACTGGCTTGCGAAATAAGGAACAAATATTTTCATATTTGGTGTGTCATTGTCTGTGTCAATTGTTCACATTATGAATGTTAACTTCCCAGTCTCGTTAAAGTCAGAGGTTAATGCTAACAAGGCTTCACTGAAGATCTGATGACATACCATTACAGGTCACATCAGGACCACCTTTTGCAAACTTTGACCGACCAATGAAATGACGAACAGGGTGGTGACATTAGCCAATCAGAAAGCAGCTTTCTCAAGCACTAGTTTAAGTTTGGTGACCTGCTACCCCGACTACAATTTTTTAAATATATTTTGATTAAGTTCTTGATTCAAAATTTGAAAACTGAAGAAAAGAAATTTCTGACAAACCTAATAATGGATGGGCAAGTTTGTAAGACAGTACTTCCCGTGGGCTATAGAGATAGACTGTGAATTTGACTGAATGTTGCACAGCCAGTAACTGTAGTTCAGAATGCCTCCATTAACTTTTTTGAGGTTGCATGATTAGAAAACACATTCAGACTTTCACTGTTGCACAAAGATCCATGTTTAATGATACTGGGAACTTTTTTTGGGGGGGGGGGATACATCATTCTTTTAAGAACAAGTAGGTATTGTTTTGTTTTAGCTGCCTGAGTCCATGTTACTTTCAAAAAGGCATGGGCGATCAGATCAGATCTTATCAACAGATTTATTCTTCATTTGAACACTGGATAAGTGATGTATGTGAACTTAAAGTGAATTTCTATTGCAACACAGCTTCTATTTCAGGTGCCCTGAAGTCGGACTTGCCACATTCCATAACCACCCAGGTTGAGGTGGAGATCAACCCACACATCCCAGAAAACACTCCATCTGAGAAGTCAGGCAGTAATCCCCCAAGATTGAGGGAAGAGAGTGACTCGGATTTATCCCCAGAATATATTCCAAAGTTACGTTTACGCCGAGAAAGACGAGCAGTTCGCAGATCGAAAAGTGCTCTTGAACCTAGTAATCCTGGTTCTCAGCCTGAGCCTAAATCAGGGGGGATGCGGATGTCCCTGCCCCCCCACGCCCGTGTCCCAGTGAGTGCTGAGCAGCTGCAGAGACAGATCAGTGATGGGCACATGGTGATGAGGAGACTGGCCTCCGATTCCAGGATGGATAGCCCAGCTATCAAGAGACAGGAGAGGCATGAGGCTGTGAGGAACAGACTAAGGACTCCAAGTACTAGATCTTTAGAATTACTCAAAGAGAACTTGCCAAAGAGATCCCAAAGTGTAACAAATGATGCCCTTCCCCATGAACAGTTAAGACCTGTGGCTGTCAGTAGAAGTCCGTCACTACCCCGCCCAGCATCATTGTCTTTAACAGCTGGTGGGAGCAGGCCTCGAATGGTCCGACATAGTCCCCAGTCTAGTGTCAGTGACTCTTCAGATCTTAGTCTTGGTGAAATATATATCCCCTCTATAGCAGAGAGGCCGACTGTTCAAGGTCAAAGGTCAAGACCAGGGAGTGGGGGAACATCCAGTTCTGCTCACACATTAACAGAACGAGGGTCAAGTCCTGCAATTTCAGGTGGAGGTACAAAGAGTAAAGATTTTGGAATATTTAAGATCACTCGCTACTTACAAAGCTCTGAAGACCCTAGCAAGAGAGCCAATCATTCGACACAGAGCAGTGTAGTAGGGTTAGACTGGTTGTTCAGTACAGACAGTGAGTCAGCCACTTCGGGGGACAGCCATTCCCAGACTGATGTGTCCGAGTCTACAAGCACAATAACCAATGAAGGGGAGAGCTCGTATGACGTGAGCTCTGACCAGCACAATGCAGGGTATCAGCCTCTGGCAGGCCTGGAGTGCACCACAACTCCCAGTAGCCCCAGCACTGATGAGCTGGAGGTGATGAGAAGCCAGGGAGCTATACCCAAACACTACCAGCGCAGGTCAGGACCCAGTGCTGCACCAGGTAAGGGCTTCTGTGCTTGTACTGCCAGCATTTAATGACATTGTATCTCAGTTTAAATTAATGTTGTTAATATTTTTAAATTTGTTTGTTTTCAAGATTTCTGTTACAGCCATGTTACTGTTACTTTCAGCATGTTCAGTTCTCACATCCAAATGTTGTTTAACTCCATAGTTGATCCGGGGCGGTCGGATAGCCTAGTGGTTAAAGCGTTCTCTCATCATGCCGAAGTCCCGGGTTCGATTCCCGACATGGGTACAATGTGTGAAGCCCATTTCTGGTGTCCCCCAGCCGTGGTATTGCTGGAATATTGCTATAAGCGGCATAAAACCAAACTCACTTCCATACTTGATCCTTTCACTTTGTGTTAGCCAAGTGTTCTGTTTGATCCCCAACATGGGCACAATGTACAGAGAGTGTGTACTTTATGTGATTCACATGTAACTGGAGATGAATTTCATTATATATTTAAATGTTCACACTGTATGTACAAACGTAAGTCATTCTTTAAAGAGACACAAGACCTAACCTTGCAAAACCAGTCACTCTCAAAAAAAACTTAATATGTTTTTAAAGGCCCCTCAGAGCTCCAGATAACTTTTTGAGCAATTGGGTTTTTACTCAAAGGTTTCTATTTTAATTGGGTTATTACATTTTATATTTGGTAACCTATATAATTTCACTCATTTATTCATCACTCTATTGGGTTTTGTGTGAGTACACATTTTGAGATTTAAAAAAAATTAATAATGTTTTAGATGTATACAATGGTTCTAAATATAGGCTTGACTCGGAAAATAACTTAGATCATAATTTTGTTTCGGAAATTAGCTCTATTTTACACATGCTGAAAAGCTTCATTGGGTATTTATGTGTGCTGTTTTTATACATTTGAGTTTTTCATTTAATGCATGCGTTTCTGTACATGGTTTTGAATATTTAGGGGGGATATTTTATGCAAATACACAGCTTATCTGCAGCTTTGGCCCTTTTATAAGAAACTCTACTTGAACATTGTCATCCTGCTGTTCATATTGTATAGTAGAATATTCTACTTGTAGTTATGTACCACCGATGGTGGTTTTACGAAAGTGACAGGCTTGTGATATAGAGATGTACAGTATGTGTTCCCCCATTCTGTAACGGTTGGACTCTTTCAAATCAGCTTTGAACGCGAGCCATGTATGAGTGTTAGATAACCAAATGTACTGTGAATAAAATGATAAAGAGCAACTTCCTCTGTACAAGCAGCAGGTGATATGTCCACCAGCCCTGGCTCAACAGATCTATCCGACCCAGAAGAAATCAAAAAGAAGTTGATAGAACTCCTCTGCAAATCTCAGGACCACCCAGAAGAACTTAAACGGTTCCGAGAATATGTTAGGCTGCAAAGTGAGTGGGCCCCAGTATGATTTTATTGTTAGAATAGCAACAGTCTGCCTCTTATATCGAGAATATTGTTTGGTCAGCGAATAAATAGAGAATCTCACCCAAGTGTCTTTTGATATCAAATATATCAACACATGTTGATAAAGGTGTAAAAACTCCGAGGCATGCATTTGATTGTGGCATCATTGTGATGCAATTTCATTTTTGCTATATCTACAATGTTGATATCACTTGATCTCACCCACGCAATATCTCCTGTGGGAGCCAGTTTTGGATGATACATGCATGATTACTACCATCTACTGAAAATGATGGCAAGAGTTTGAGGCTAGTAGACTCAGGCCTGATGTCACAGACTGATGTATTATTTGTAGAGGATTGATAATGTGAAACCCATGCTTGCCAAAACAGGTGACTACGCTTGTTGTAAGGGGCAACTAAAGTCAGGCTCGTTGACTTTCTTGATGCATGTCATCGTATTGTATAGGTCAATGCTCGTGATGTCAATCACTGGATTGTCTGGTTCTATGCTTTGCAGAGTTGTGTCCCTTAGCTGTACCTGGAACTTATGATCTTGGGTTAAAATCCAGGAAATGCCCTGATCATGTTTTAGGTTTGTCAGCTCCATACCAGTCACTTCAGGCTTTCCTTCCTAATCAAACCATGATACAACTGAAATACTATTCAAAGCAGCATTAAACCAAAGCTCACCCTTTCACACTGTTAGATTGTCTACTTATGGCAGAAATTCAATAGTTTGTAAGTTTGTAAGATCTGCCAAAAGCCAGAAATAGTACTAAGAATCCCCTATGTGTCCTAACCTGGATCTGAGTGTTCCACATATGTGGAGATTATTATACAAGCTTGTGCATCATCATATTGATTTTACGAAACGAGTGTCAGAATTCTTGTATTTCCCGTGCGAGAGTTATAAATTTGTTATTACCCATTATTTCTTAATCCTTTGGAGCTAACCATGAGAAAAATGCACAAATCACGAGTGCCGTCTTAGAAAAGCAGACCTGTCGAATGACGTCAATCTTCAGCAATGACATTGTTTCTAGCGTGATCATGGTGATGTCATTCTGACCTTAAGTCACAATAAGATTTGCATGACGTCAACAATGCCGTCCACATGACGTAAACAGTACACTGGTGCACGTGTAGTGATATTTGCACGAGTGCACAAACGATTTTTATGCACTCTGTTATTTCTAACCCTTTGGGTAATAAATAATAATACTGCCCATGATTTCAGAAAACCAGAACAATAACAACAATGATGAGCCGGACAAAGAGAAGCAGGAGGAAGCATCTAAAGCAGGTCAGAGACAACTAGGAAATCTACTGTACAACACATGTACAATATATATCATAGAGGCTGGCATTCTGTCACGTAGGATAAGGAATGAACATTGGGACTTCCATTTTTGTTGATATTATGTTACACTATGAATAATCAGTTAACTCATATTTTTTCCCCAGCCAAACCAGGAATATATGTAAAAAATGTTTAGCCCTTGAAAGCCAGCTTGTTTCAGTGAGAACTTCAGTGTCAGTTTTATGGGTATAGTTTGCGAAGCCTTCTTATTGACGATTTTGTATAGCCCTTGAAGTGATATTCATCTATCACATATTTGTTTGTAGAAGACAGAATTGGTGACTTATTTCAGTATCCAAAATGAAGTTTCAAATGATATGAATATCATTTAATAAGGTTTTAACAAGATATTTTTCCTTTTTTAGTAAATAGTCCATGCAATATCATTGGAGAAAGTATTAAAAATACAATCGAAAAACAAACATAGGGCAAATTTAATCTATTTGATCCCTGTCTGCTGTCCCTCTAAAAAAAAACTACTGGGTTTTAAAATCGTTAAAAAATTAAATATTTTACCACGAACTGGTCATTCCCTCTAAAAACACAAATGAGCTGCTCTATTGGAACACCCTGTGGTGATTCTGGGTGCCCACATTGCTCCATCTATATGCGTAAAATATGCAAGAAAATGACCATTACTGTGTATGTGTTTAATTTTCCAAATTTAACATTGAAATTTCTTAAACCTCAGAAGATGATAACTCTCTGCTTAATTCCCCAGTGTATTGGGAGAGTCTTGGCTGGTTGTGTGTCATCATGTGAAAAATTGTTTTTTTGCTATTGCTTTAAAATATGCATTGGTGGTGTGACAAATATAGCAATGTGTCTAGCCGAGGCCTTATCGCACCCATGTCCTGAGTTATCCCCCTTAAGCCTCTTTCCTCAAATGTTTCTAGAGACTATTCATTGTTCGATGATATTGATTATATTTTTGGTCGTGACTGCCGAAAAATTGGTTCCTGTTTAAATGACTTGACCTCATTCTTGTACATGGATGAACTTTTACGCCTAACCCTGTATTTATAGAAAAAATAAAGCAAGAAAGTGAAGATAAGGGGAAAGCTGTTGAACAGGACAATGGGGCGATAGGAGGGGCCCCCGGGGGAGGGACCCCTGCCCCCAACAACACCGACGAGACTGAGTCCAAATCCACCACCCCCACTGAATTCTCAGCTCTGTTGCCTCTTACAGGGGAGAAGACACCAGATAATAAACACCGGAAAGGAGTAAGGTAGGATGGCTGCTCACTTTCCCTTGCTCGGAGCGCTTACATTGCACTTCTGTGATTGGACCATAAGTCAGCAGGCCTTGTCTGTCTTCCCATTTCCCTTCTGTTGTACTACTTTCCTGAAAGCTTCTTTCACAACTTAATATTTGTTTCTCAATTTAATTCTTAGGTTGGATATTTATGTAATGTAACTACTAGGCTGTAGGTAAAGCATGGATTTATCCAGGATTTCAAACTAAGTGCCTTTGGCAAGCAAATTGCGACAAAAATCATGATATTGTGAAAAAATTGATTACTTTAATGTTTTTGTGTTTGTAATTTCTGAAGAATTTTTTAATTCAAATTGAGAACTTTTGCTGTCATTTGCTGCAGACCTCTGAGCAGCACCAGATAAATCCTTATGAATCTAACACCAGATGGCACATTTTGCAGAAAGAAATGTTTTAAGTATTATCTGTACATCTGCTATTGTTATCAAAGGAATATGACTGTAATGAATATTAATATATTGCACCATGTGAATAGCATTACTAGCTTGTGCGTGACTGTTAGATGCTAGATGCATAGATCCTTGTTTGATGATGAGAAGAGCAAAATATATTATCACTATTGATTATACTGTTGTTTGGTGGTTCTGGTTTTAGTTGAGGGCTTTTGGATGGAGTCATATTTTTTTTATCTTTATTCCATATTTTGGTATGAGTTGAAATGGGGTCATGCTGTGTCACCAAATTATCCATGCTGTTCACTGATTCCTGAGTGCACTGCTAATACATAACACTACAGTACTTATTTAACACCATTCAATATAACCATTCCTTTTCTTTATCATTTGTACAACAATATGTTCAGATGACATGGGGGCAACTGGGTGGCCTAGTGGTTAAAGCACTTGCTCTCAATGCCACAGTCCCGGGTTCAAATCCTGCACTTGGGTACAATGTGTGGAGCCTGTTTCTGGTGCCCCCTGCCGTGATATTGCAATAATATTGCTAAAAATGCCGTCAATCAATACTCACTCACTCACAATACACTACTCTTCATCAAGAACACAATCTGGTTGTCTTGAAAACTTTGTAATATTGCTGACTGTGGCATAAACCTCGCTCACTCACTCACTCATACTTCCCAACCAGGGATTTATATTTGCGACCTGCATCCTCCACTGCAGTTTAACCATCTGTGACTTGAGTAGGCACTAACCCTGTTGCCCATTATGTATATGTATTTGTATGTTTGTGCGTATACCTAAAGGAGGCGTGGTGCTAAAAAGAGACTGGCATCGCGTCGACGCCGTGACTCCCCACCAGCAGCAGCCTTGACAAGCCTCGTGATGAACACCGGTGGCCATCTTGCTACTTCCCATATGGATACCACAGATGGTGCGGTCCACTACTTCCAAGATGAGAGTGGTTAGTTTCACTCTATCATCATCAGTTTTACACTCAAATATACTACTCAAAACAAGTTAAAGAGCACCCACAATTAGAAGGCTGAGTGTTGCAATTCCACCAGCCATGACAGATTAACTATTGTCATATGAAGAAAACGGGTGTTCCTTAACATATTTTGAGTAGTATATTTGTGTTCATGGGCACTTTGCTTTAAGTTGTGACATGCTCGGTGAGTGTTTGTGCTGAAAAAGGACAGAATATATAATCTTCATGAGCAAAATGTCCAATATATGATAATTCATATGCCCAAACCAATTGTTTGACATGCACACATTAAAATATTCTTTTTCCATCATGATCAATATAGTGATGTAACAGAAAGAAAATTAAGATCCCTTTTTCCTTCATTGCAATGTTGCAAGGCAGAATAGGCGCCAAATACCCAAACCTTGTTCTAGAAGGATAACCAATGTATAATGGCACACTACAGAAATGCAGTGACATTTGAAAAACAGTTTTAGATAAATTATCTACTTCTTCCAACTGCATAGGATTAGAAAAAGACTTAAAACTGTCTTCCCAAAGGATATCAACATTAAATATTGCAGGCTGTGACACAGTGAAGATATTGCACAGCAAATCCCTTTCTATGACTTCTTTTCTTTGTAAATGTAAGATGTGCCATGCTGTGATGTTTAATAGGTAACTGGCTAACATACACCTTCGGTGAGAACAGTTCTGGCGTTGCCTTGGGGATGCTGGAGAACCAGCAAGAAGAATGGCCGAACCAGGAACAGCATAACAAGACCCAGTAAGTTGTTGATCATCACCAAGGTTCATACACCCTTAAAAAGGCTGTGAAATTTAAATTCCTATCTATGTATTGCTAAATTTTTAGTGTCGATACTGTATCGATACAAATTTAATAATATTGATGCTACGTTAATAATTCAAACAGAAACCTTTACATTTAGTAGGAATACTATGGTTGTGATGGACCATGAGAAGACAGGACATTTAATTTTTTAACATAAATGGACTAGCCGAGTTCATATTTAGCATTAACTTGATTTAACTGCAGATCTATACACATACCGAATTATTCATTTTATTATTGATCAAGATTTTGATATATAATTGTACATTGAGTCGATATATCAATGCTAAAATTTCCAGTCAAAGGCTAGGCTTGCTTTCTGTTGAAGCATTTCTGATGCTTAAGTCAAATAAAAGTTCTTTTGGTCTTGTAAGTTCAGCTAATAATAGGCCCTGTTGGGAATTCTAGGTGAGAATAGGCCCCCAGCTACCTATGCTGGTCTTATGAAGCATCTGGCTGGTCAGACTCATTGACCTGGTTGATTGTGTGTCATCGAACTCTGATGGCATTGACCATTGCTCGCAGTATCAATCACTGGATTGTCAAGACTTGATGACCAGGTTGATTGTTTGTCATCAAACTCTGATGGCATTGACCATTGCTCGCAATATCAATCACTGGATTGTCCAGACTTGATGACCTGGTTGATTGTGTGTCATCAAACTCTGATGGCATTGTTCATTGCTCGCAGTATCAATCACTGGATTGTCAAGACTTGATGACCTGGTTGATTGTGTGTCATAAACTCTGATGGCATTGACCATTGCTCGCAATATCAATCACTGGATTGTCCAGACTTGATGACCTGGTTGATTGTGTGTCATCAAACTCTGATGGCATTGACCATTGCTCGCAATATCAATCACTGGATTGTCCAGACTTGATGACCTGGTTGATTGTGTGTCATCAAACTCTGATGACATTGTTCATTGCTCGCAGTATCAATCACTGGATTGTCAAGACTTGATGACCTGGTTGATTGTGTGTCATCAAACTCTGATGACATTGACCATTGCTTGCAGTATCAATCACTGGATTGTTTGGTCCAGACTTATTTACAGACTGCTGTTATGTAGTAAGAATATTGCTGAGTGTGGCATTTAACAACAGCTAATAATAGTCCACATATTAAGACTAAAATCTACTGAATCAGTTGTAGCTTGACAAGTTCAGGCTGGTAGACTTTGCACAAACTGGTGATGTGGCTTCAGAATGTTAGAAATGGTATGGAAATGTCCATGCCTTTTGTGTATTCAGACAGAAGACTTATACTCTTTCTATTTCCACAGATGGTCTTCAGCCTCAACATGCTCCGACTCAACAGTAATCCTCGACTCCCCGAAGCCGGAAGAGCGGCCTGATTTGTTTCATGACCTGGCTCTGCCTGGCCCTCTGGGGACAACGGATGAAATGCGGACTCATAGTGCACTGCAGTCCTATGTCCAGGCCCTGCTGGAGAGTGGTCGGGGCAGACCAACCATCTCCGACACCTCGTCAGATTCTGACACAACACACACTAAGTCAAAGAAGGAGAAGCCAAAACATTTCTACAAACTGTGGTTGTTGAAGAAGAAGTTTTTGAAAATCCGTTTTGATAGACTTGCCCTTTTGGCATTGTTAGATAGGTAAGTTGATCAATTTCCTTTTGTCTGTTTGCATGCAACCAAGGGGTGCTCACGGGTTTAAGTACCCAGTACAAGATTGAATATTCTTAAGGTAGCGCATTATATTAAGAGAATAATTACAAAGTTTCTCCGTCATTGTTATAGCTGAGCATATTTTTCAGTAGTCTAGCCAACTTACCTCAAGTAAAGCCATGTTGTGTTGCAGGAGCTTGTCTGTGTTTGAGAACATTGTAGCTGTGCTCATGGCAGTGGCTGTCGGTGCTCTCGGTGCTCTAGTCTTGTCATGCAACTTCTACCATGACATATGGATATTTGTCTTCTGTTTCATCATTGCCGGCTGCCAGTACTGCTTGCTCAAGGTAAGCAAAGCTTGCGGCATTTGGAGGTTATACTATATAAGATCACAATATGTTGGTTGTTTGAGTTTCAGAGTCAGTGGGGTAGCCTAGTGGTTAAAGCGTTCGCATGTCACACCGAAGACACTGGTTCGATTCCACACATGGAATGGAAGCTCATTTCTGGTGTCCCCTGCTGTGATATTGCTGGAATATTGTTATAAGCGGTATAAGCGGCTTACTCACTCACTCACTCACTCACTCACTAGACCGAATAGCAGACCAGTGTTAGTGTCAGACAGTGTTGTCAATCGGAAAATAGGTGATCTATGTAGCTTCTAGTATAGAGTAATAACTTAGCACAAAGCATATAAACTTTAGGAAGCCTATCAGTAAATAGGTCATCGTATATTGAAATTAAAGCAATCGCTCGTCACTCTGAAGGCTCGAGTGTGATTCCTAACGTGCAGTTCATCCATTTTCTTTTTTATTATCGTTATTTTAGAGACAGTGTAAAGGCATCTGTGTACATCAACTGCATGTCAACGGATTAACATGAAGCTTGAATGTTTCTTTAGGACAATGTACATGGTTTTTTCTCCAGCAAAGCAAGGATGAATAGGCACCTGACAGCTTTGATGATATTTGTGTAGAGAGTCTTTAAACTGTTCTCAGCATTATGATTTGTGTTCGTCACGACTATGAGTACTTCTAACTGTGTTCAATGTCTCCCACCAGAGTGTCCAGCCAGATGCCTCCTCCCCAATGCATGTAAGTACCTAGTATACAGAACACACTTGCACATGACACAGATACCAATAAGATCGTGGTTGTAATTGGTCTTAAGCTACCCATGTTTGTCGTAAAAGCAGCGTTAGAAATTGGCACTAGTCCTGTAGTCCTTACCAAACTGCCCAATAGTAAAGGTATCCTAAGGACTAGTATAAATTGGCCCATTTTAAGTGTTTTGCTATATGTTATCATTATAAGGACTAGTGGGCAAAAACTGTTAGTTTCTAACCCTGAAAAGGCGGCTAACAGGATCAGGTGGTCAGGCTTGCTGACTTGGTTGATGCATGTCATCGCGTTGAAATTGCGTAGATCAGTGCTCATGATGTAAATCACTGCATTTCAATATTTAAAGACCCCCATTATATAGATGGACTATTGCTGAGTGCGGTGTTAAACAATTAAGTAAAACACAGGGTGTCCTTGTGCGCCTTGAATGTGGAAAAGTAATATTAAAATCAGGTCAGTTATCAGATTTAACGGCTCTTTCTTGCAAACCTTAGGAATAATTGCTATTCTGACACATTGATGTGTGTTATGCAGGGCTACAACAGATTGATAGTGTTCAGCCGTCCATTCTACTTCTGTCTGTGTTGTGGCCTGGTGTTGTTGCTGGACTATGCAAGTGACCGCGTCGGGAACCATCCCATCTCCATATACGGGATGCCTTTCACAGCTGTATCGTCTCTCATATTTGCTCGAGATTTACTCAAAAGTAGGTAGACGTTTTTTTATTATTATTTGAATCAATAACAAATCTAGCTATCTGGTTTGCCAGTTGCTGTCTTGTTAAAAAACTACAAATCATATTGCTTGAACATGTTTAAGGTGTGATTGTGATGGTTATGTCTGCTAATAGTCAATGTTTCATAAACCAATATGATGTAAAGGTAGTACTTATGTGTTTTAAAACAACATTCCCTCACCACTATTCCCGTGACTTTTGAAACTGCCTGTACTGGTGGACTGGCAACTCTAAAACTTTTGTCAGTCCCAACTTTCAACAACGAAAAAGGATGTATGAAAATTATGCATCATGTTCAATTCAATGATGTCATCTCTTAAGTAACTTGGTTAGATCTACATGTCATTCACACAAAGTTCAGTCAAAAAGTTCTCTTCTTCTTTTTTAATATTTTGGGACTAAATCACTACAAGTATATATTTAACCTCAAAGCAAAGCAAAATGTTATTTCCTTGCACTAAAAATAGACGAGGGGAAACCCTGATGGTAACAGACAAGCTGACTTTGTTCGAAAAATATAGTCAATGTTTAGTTCAACAACAAAGATTTATAAGGTAGGTTATTTGCCAGTCCATAGAGAGTGGCGGTCACATTAATTACCAGTCCAAACCTCATTTTACTGGTAAAAAACTGGTAATTTCTGGTAAACACTGTTCACTTTCTGACATTTTCTGATTGTCCCTTTCTCTCCAGTTTTCATCCTGTGTTTCCCGCTGCTGTTTACGGCGGGGCTTCTACCTCAGGTCAACACATTCATCATGTACATGCTGGAGCAGATTGACATGCATGTCTTTGGGGGCAATGGTTAGTATGTCATGTTGTATGCAAATATAGATGCTTAGTACTACACGAGATCAAGGGCTGATGCAGCATTTTTAAAGGAGGTTTTACTGCCCACAACATTTTACATTTGGTTTTCAAAGGGGGCAGGGTTGGGCCTGGACACCCCCCCCACCCCTCCTTCTGAATCCACCTATGGACATAATGTATTGTTTCAGATAATCCCAGATATCCCATGTATGTTATGCTACCTTTTGTATCGCCTTCATTGCCATTGTTATCAAACACATTAAAAAAATGGAATGCTTCTTGATTGTCCTACACATTTAAATAAATGTTGGCCACTAACAAACACTGCCTTTTGTTAATTTTGTTGAAATTTGTTAAATTTGTTAAATTTAAATTTAAGCAAAGTACTGGATAATGATTATGATACCTACTTCAAATCAAGCAAATTTCTGAGAACAGTAGCCTTGTCATGTAAGGTACTTCAAGTCTCGGTGCAGAGTTACCTCCCTTAGTCGTGTCAGAATCTGACAATCGTGGGTTCGAGTCATGGGTTCCATTTGCCCTGATTATGATTCTTGATTGTCAGCACCACTGTGTTGAGTGTTATTTCTCCGGTGATGTATGTGTGTTTGTGTTTGTGTTTCAGCAACGACAGGCCTCGTTGCCTCAGTGTATTGTTTGTGTAGAAGTGTGTTTGCTGTTGCCCTGCTCTATGGCTTCTGTTATGGAGCTCTCTTGGTGAGTACTACTTGTTCATTGAAATACACTTATGGTAATGACAATAATCTGGTGTTTTATTACATAAGTTGTCATGCTATTAGTGAAAGAAACAGTTGTCATGTCAGCTAGAGACTGCCTCCGTGGTCTAGTGGCAGAGAGGGGCGGTCGGGTAGCCTAGTGGTTAAAGCGTTCGCTCGTCACGCCGAAGACCCGGGTTCGATTCCCAACATGGGTACAATGTGTGAAGCCCATTTCTGGTGTCCCCCGCAATGATATTGCTGGAATATTGCTAAAAGCGGCGTAAAACCATACTCACTCACTCACTCTAGTGGCAGAGCGTCCGCCCGGAGAGCGGAAGGTCCAGGATTCGATCCCCAGCCGCGTCATACCAAAAGACGGTTAAAGATGGTACTTATTGTTACCCTGTCTGGCGCTCGGCATTAAGGGGCTAAAGCAAGGACTTGTCGGCTCGGAGTCAGTATACATACTGTGTCTGAGTGGGGTATTCATGTTAAACTGTGGCATGGTATCTCAGTGAGCTAGCACTATAAATCGGCATCAGTCGGGACTAGTACAAGCAGCCACACAAACACACACATGAATGCACGTCGATATGTAAGTGCAATAATCTTGGACGCGACATTAAACCCCACTTCACCTCACCTCATGTCAGCTAGAGAGGTTGGGTAGACATGTGGTTAAAACATTCGCTTTACATATTGATGACTTAGGTTTGATTTCCCCAAATGGGTTCAGTGTGTCAAACTTATTTCTTGTCTTCCCCTCCGTGATATTGCTGAAATAGTACTGAAAGCAATGTTAAAGCCATACTCACTAACTCTCTCAATTCAAGAATTGTATCAGTTATTTAACAAACATTATTAGTTCATTAAGTGTTAACTTACCTTAGTTTCAAATGCAGCATAAATGAGACTGATAATGGTTTTATATGTGTCGGGTATCAAAATGCCTTGAGATTGACTGGAGTGTTTGTTTTGTAGGGGGTGGGAACGGAGCATACTTGTGGCAAGACTGTGGAGCGGGAGGCAGCTCAGAATGTTCTGTTCTCTGTGTTCTGTGGTGTCCTGGTCGCTGTCTCATATCACCTCAGTCGAAGTGCAAGCGACCCCAGCGTGCTCTGGTAAGTTTCTGCCTTGACCTGTGCTCTGGTACGTTTATGCCTAGACCTGTGCTCTGGTAAGTTCCTGCCTTGACCTGTGCTCTGGTAAGTTCCTGCCTTGACCTGTGCTCTGGTAAGTTCCTGCCTTGACCTGTGCTCTGGTAAGTTCCTGCCTTGACCTGTGCTCTGGTAAGTTCCTGCCTTGATCTGTGCTCTGGTAAGTTCCTGCCTTGACCTGTGCTCTGGTAAGTTCCTGCCTTGACCTGTACTCTGGTAAGTTCCTGCCTTGACCTGTGCTCTGGTAAGTTCATGCCTTGACCCATGCTCTGGTATGTTCATACCTTGACCCATGCTCTGGTAAGTTCATGACTTGACGGCCACCCGCCTCCGTGGTATAGTGGTAGAGCGTCCGCCTGGAGAGCGGAAGGTCCGGGGTTCGATTCCCGAGCGTGTCATACCAAAAGACGTTAAAAGATGGTACTTGTTTTTACCCTGTCTGGCGCTTGGCATTAAGGGGCTAAAACAAGGACTGGTCGGCTCAGAGTCAGTATACTGTGTCTGAGTGGGGTATTCATGTAAAACTGCGGTATGGTATCTCAGTGAGCTAGCACTATAAATCGGCATCAGTCAGGACTAGTACAAGCAGCCACACAAACACATGCACGTCGGTATAAAAGTGCAATAATCTTGGACGCAACGTTAAACCCCTTTCACCTCACCTCACTTGACGGGCGGTCAGGTAGCCTAGTGGCTGGAATATATAGCTAAAAGCGGAAAAAACCTCACTCACTCACTCATGACTTGACCTATGCTCTGTTGCGTTCATGACTTGACCTGTGCTGTGGTAAGTTCATGACTTGACCTATGCTCTGTTGAGTTCATGACTTGACCTGTGCTGTGGTAAGTTCATGACTTGACCTCTGCTCTGGTAAGTTCATGACTTGACCCATGCTCTGTTAAGTTCATGCCTTGACCTGTGCATTGGTTGTATTGGTAAGTTCATGATAAGCATCAGGTGGGTACAGTGTGTGACAGTTTTGTGGAGCAAGTGAAAGCATGATTAGGGTCTCAGTGGGCAAGCAGTTTAAACCACGAGGCTAGCAAGTGCAGGGGTGCTGAGGTGGTATCCTGCTAGTGACCAGGTTGTTATGGACCAACAATGTTGACAAGTCTTCACAGTGTTGCCAATACTTTTAGTGTACTTTTAATTCATGATAGAACAATGTTTTATCTTGAAATAAGCCATGCTTCGCTCTTCATTGATCTTTGCAATTTATCCCGTAGCTATGTTATATATATAACATTATAATAATTATATGTGTTATTTGTATTGATTTTGTTAACCCTAGAACAATATGGATAATAAATTGATACTGATGATAGTGTTGACACTGAAATAACTAGAGATGAAGATGAAGGCTAACAGTTGCATGAAGCGTGTGTAGCCAAACACTAGTGTCATTTTGTTGTATACACTTTTCCCAGGATGATGATCAGGGACTGTGTTGTGCGACGAGAGGAGGAGAAGACGGAGGAGAAACAGGATGACAAGGAGGAAGAGCTGGTTGATCCACTTCCAGGCAAACTGAAGACGTGTGTGGTCAGTAATAGCTGTGTCACCTCATTAATCTTGTCAACCCATTCTTGGCATCTTCCCGAGACAAAAGAGTTAACTGACTATAAGAGTCCAGTTTCCACCCTTGCCGAAATAGGCTGGTATTATGGAGTTACATATTGGCTGGACTAACGAGTCTATGCATAGTCCAATCAAAATCGCGCAATGAAATCAAAATCCGGTTCGTAAACTGACCTGCAGATTTCGGTCGATTGCAGGATTTGCAAAGCATGTGCACCGCCAACTCGTTGTCAACATATATTTTCCTAATCTTTTCATGTTTTTAATCAAGGTGCTCACGTGATTTGATGCACTTTGCGATGTAACACCCGTTTTATCACAATATAGACCTTGATTATCGATCAGATTGTCTTGACTGGGCACCGCTGTTTTGTTTGAAGCAAATGCAAGTGATATGAGAGATGGAATCTGATTGATCCATAGGAGAGGCATAGAAGGGACATAACTCGTAATAGCCACTGGTGGTGCTACGATCGAGCCCAGGAATTCCAGCCTAGTTAGGCAAGGGTGGAAACTGGACTTTTAAAGTCCGTTAACTCTCTTGCCTCGGGAAGATGATTCTTGGTGGCCTCCTGAAATATTGCTGGAAAGCTGCATTAAGCCATACTTACTCGCTCTATAATCTTGTCCATAGTAAATGGTTTAAAAACAGTTTCTCATGCATTGATATCTCCATTGTGAACCAATACATCACCAGTGTTGTAAAGACATTGTGAAACTTGTATGAACAACATGTGTGATGTGTCCTATTGGCTGTGTTACAGAGTGAGAGACTACAGTCAGATCTGCTGGTGTGTGTGTTCATCACTGTCCTCGTGTTTGCTGTCCATGTCAGTACTGCCTTCACCAGTCCTGTGTTGCAGGTAACGCTTATATCCTCATATATTACCCAGGTGCAGTTTACTGTTCTGCAATGCTGATTGGTCAGTTAAAGCCATGTGACATCACAGTGCTTCATTGTCAAGACAGATATGATATGATGTCATCCATTGTTCATGACATCACAAATTGATTATGTGAGGTCATCTACACAGTGTGCTGTTTTCAACTTTTTCTCTTTAAAATGTCAATGAGTAATAACCTACTCTCTGAATTACTGATCGTCTGTCCCTCAAGAATGAATGCTGTAAGTATCTCACCAAAGGCTCAGGTTTAACACTATTCATTCACTCAGGACAGATAATCTATCGTTCCTTGTAGCTCCTTGGTTGTTCTCTAAGTCTTGGGGATGGTCGGGTAGCCAAGTGGTTAAAGCGTTCGCTCGTCACACCGAAGACCTGGGTTCAATTCCCTACATGGGTACAATGTGTGAAGCCTTTTCTGGTGTCCCTCGTCATGATATTGCTGGAATATTGCTAGAAGTGGCGTAAAACCATAACTCTCTAAGTCTTGCCTGAATCGTGTTTTCAGTCACTTTTACAGTTAAAATCTCAACTGGTCAGCCATCAGTGGAGTTATTCAACAAGAAGTTGAAGTAATCAGTTTGTCACAATTTATGCAGACATCTTTGTGAGTACAAGATGGGATACTACTCCAAGTGGCATTGAGCTGCCCACCCTGACCTCTGTGCTCTGCTGGGGCGGTCGGGTAGCCTAGTGGTTAAAGCGTTCGCTCATCACGCCGAAGACCCGGGTTCGATTCCCGACATGGGTACAATGTGTGAAGCCCATTTCTGCTGTGCCCCACCGTGATATTGCTGGAATATTGCTAAAAGCGGCCTTAAACAAATATTCACCCTCTTAGCTCTGCTTGCAGCCCCTCCTGAGTGACATCTTGTATTACCTGGCGGCCAGCCTGGGACTGGTCATCCACTACATCATCCCCCAGCTGCGGAAGGAGATGCCCTGGCTGTGCTGCTCCCACCCGGCCTTCCAGAGCAGGGAGAGGAACTACTTTGAAGTCAAAGGTGATGTATACCCTCAACTCAATAACTCAGTGTCCTGGCCTTCTTTTTACTGGGGGTGGGGGGTGGGGGGGGAATATGGTCTTAACCTTCATGTCATTATTTTGGTTTGATAGTTTTGATGCAAAGTAATGCGGTACATACAAGGTCAATATCACCATTCGCCCGGGCTTCTAGAGCAGGGAGACCAAATATCTTGTCAGTCCCATGGCTTTCTTACACTATGTAGGGGACATATATAGTTGCATATATTTTGGTTTCATAATTTTGATACTAAGTAATGAGGTACATACAAGATAATCATCACAATTCTGTTCAAAATTTAGCATGAAACTCAAAGGGCCTTTTTTCATAACCCTAATGTAACAAGTTAAAGGTCTTCAGCAACCCATGCTTGTTGTAAGAGGTGACTATCACTTGTTTGCCTGGTACAGACTCCATTATTTACAAACTGTCGTCATATAGGAAATATTGCTGATTTCGGCGTTAAACAAGAAACAATAGGGGGTCTCACCATTGGAGCAGACCTCAAAGACCCCTTTAATTTCAAACATTTCCATTGCTAATGCAGGCAGTTCAATTGCTAGTGCAGGCAGTTCAATTGCTAGTGCAGGCAGTTCAATTGCTAGTGCAGGAAGTTACTTTGAACACTTCATTTTTAAGGTGAATAGGAATGAAGTGAATATTCAGCAGGATGCTTGTTACTTAAGCCAGAAGGTTTGGTTATAACCTTATATTAAGTATCACAGTATCTTATGGAGGCATTTGCCTCCTGAGGGAATGGTACTTATGTGTTTCTCTTTTATTGCTGCAGAACCAGCCAAGGTGATGTTGTTTGAGAAGATGTACGTGTGGCTGAGATTCTTCGAGCGCAATGCCATGTATCCTGTTGTGTGTCTCTGTGCCTTAACTACCTCAGCTCCATACATCGTGTGCAAGTTCAAAAACTTGTAAGTTCATGTTGTCGTAGTTCTCACTGAATTGGTCTCCAACCTCATGCTAGTTAAATACAGATTGAGTGTAGTGATTTGGTTAGTGATGTTGTTGATTGAGTGTCATCTCACTCCTGCAATGCCACTGAAGTAATGCCGGCTGTGGCGTAAAACAAGATTCACTCACTCCTCATTGTGACCTGTGAGGATTCAGGTTAGATTAGCTCTTCAGCACCCCATGCTTGTCGTAAGAGGCGACTATCGGGATTGGGTGGTCAGGATCGCTGTCTTGGTTGTTGCCAGTCATCGTATCCCAATTGTGCAGATGGATTCTCATTATTTCATTCACTAGATTGTCTGGTCCAGACTTGATTATCTACAGACCGCCATCATATAGCTGCAATATTGCTGATTGTGGCGTTAAACAACAAACAGACAAACAAACACTCCTCATTGTGATGGATGGATCAGGCCATTGAGTCTAGCTACATGGATATATGGCATCAAATATATACCGAGAGAAAACAGGGATTGTGAGACGTTAGGACATTTGCAACTTTTAATAGGATTTTCTTTTATTTCATTTCCAAATTTGAAGAAAATAATTCGCCAGTTTTTGGATGACAATCTGCGATGATCACTCAGTGTGCTAGAAATGATCTGATTTCATAACCTGAAAAAATCCACCTGCTACATGAAGATGGAATAAGCTCAAATATACCAGGTCATACAAAACAGAAGTAGAAAATCTAAAACCCCACCAACCCATGAGACCCATGGACAAAATATATGTTGCTTGTTCACAGGACTTGATGAGTTTATTTGCAAGTATCAGTCACCAGACAACATACAAATAGATGAACAAATATGGTTCAAAATTTGATATATTGTTTGTATTTGTGTCAGTATTGGTCCCCTGATCGTGGTGGTGTGTGCGCTGAAGATGCTGAGGTTTGCGTTCTCGGACACCCCCCGACAGTACATGATCCTCACCTTCACCGTCTTCTTCTTCAAGTATGACTTCAGGTGGTCATCCGAGAAAATCCTCATCGACTATTTCTTCATTTCCATCTTATTTTGCAAGGTGAGACTCTCTTGATGCAGTTTGTCAGGAAATCCCCAGTGATATGTGTTTGGGAATATAAAACTGTGTAGGCACTCTCGGGTTGTATGTGTCCCTAAGAGGAGGTGGTTACTGAGTGTCTTTGTACCTGACAAAGTGGATCTTTCCTTGTGCTGTAAACAACTGGTTTGTTTGCCCCAAACTTAATTATTTATAGGTTTTTGGTATATGGTTTTTAACATTGCAGAATGACCTACAACATTCACTCACTGACTTAGTATTCATTTAAGATTTACTTTTGGAGGTTTGGAGATATGATGAGATTGATATGTTATGAGATTGTTATGATATGATATGATATGATATGATATGATATGATATGATATGATATGATATAACATGATATTGTTATGATATATATGATATGATATTGTTATGAGATTGATGTGATATGAAATGATATGAAATTGTTGTGATATGAGATTGATATGATATAAGATTGATATGATATGAGATTGATATATGATATGAGATTGATATGATATGATGTGATATATGAGATTGATATGATAGACCATTGTCATGGACACTGAGCCCACTTACGCAACATTAGTAAGCTAACAAGGGAAGTAAGGCTATGTTTAGCTAGGGGAATTATGACAGTGACAACACTACAATAGTTTTTAAAACAGGGCCATGTTAACTCAGTCTTCAACCTGATTCACTTGTTACTATGAGTCTTACAAGTCAAAACGTTGGTACCCCTTAGGGATCCAGGTTAGAACTGCTCCCCAGCAACCTATGCCTGTTGTAAGAGGCAACTACATAGATTGTGCCTCATAACATTGATCACTGGATTGTCTGGTCCAGACTCAATTATTTACAGGCCACCATCATATAGCTGGAATATTTCTGAGTGCGGCATTAAACAACAAACAAAAATTGATTCTGAAGACTTAATGGTGCTTGTTGGAAGAATGTTTGAATGACCTCTTTCTTATCTGATTTAATTAATTATGTATGTAGGAGTATTTGAACACATTGCAATGATGAAGCACTTTGTGATGTGACATTCTTCTCTTTCAGTTCTGTGATCTGTGGTTGAAGATGAAGTTTATCATAACCTACATTGCCCCGTGGCAGATAACTTGGGGGTCTGCCTTTCATGCCTTTGCACAACCTTTTAGTGTGCCTCGTATCCTTTCCTGATGGTGTCACCGAGTCCGAGATTATCATGGACACTGCTTGTCCGAGTTTTTTAAATTTACCCCAATATTTCCAATTGTTTGATTTCAAAATGTAGTAATGTTACAGAAGCAATCAATTGTTCACGAAGTCCGAGCCACTTGGAATAGAGTCTCAGTGCAATTTTTGTCATTACTGTATGTAATATTTGTTATCGTCAGAGGAGTCTACTTTCACTCTAAAGTATTAGTACACATGCATCTATCTTCGTTAACTAATCATCACGATATTTCATGATTCTATTTCAAGTGGCAAGGAATATGGTTCCATAGGGCTAGGATTGCTCCCCCACCTGCCTGTACTTGTCATAAGGGACTACTTCCTGGAGGTGGTCCTTGCTTGATGTGTGTCGGCGTACCCTGATGGTGTGGATGTGGTTCACAATATCAATCACAAGCTTGTCTTGTCCAGACTCCATTATTTACAGGCCACCGTCATACAGCTGGAACGTTACTGAGTTAAATCTTTCTGGCATTAAACATCAATATGAGCAAACATGTTTTTGTTCGCCCATCGTGTCTAGACTTGAGTGAATCGCTAAAAATTATTGATTTCAGAAAGAAATAATTGTTTTTGCTTTGAGAAACTTTCGCTTATGATCAAAACAAACTTTTCAAATGACTGAAATTGAACCCTTTTTTCATATTTGTTATTCTAAACGGGTGACTACTTGACTTAACCATATTATAACATTGGTATATATATGCTCCTTGACTGGAATCAGATTCTGCAATGTTGTTTCTTCAGGCAGCTATTTCAGCTTTTCTTTCCACCCCTCTAAACCCATTCCTGGGCAGTGCTATTTTCATCACATCCTATATCCGACCAGTCAAGTTCTGGGAGAGAGACTACAAGTGAGTCCTCATAGTTACCAGAGTTAGTGTTCTACCTACAAACAGGTGCCTGAATAGAATTGTCAACTAAGCTGTAAGCTGTTCATCTGCTTCTGGACCAATTACACTCTGCTAATACCGTATTCGACATAATAAGCGCCCAGGGAACTCTCAAAATTAGAAATAGGGGGCTCTTATTAGAATATTATTTTGGTCGAAAAAACAAAGTTGAAAGATAAATTTTGTGGTTTATGCTCACGGCCTGAACTGTTTATATACGACAGATATATTTTTCCAGAATTTAATTGCCCATAATTAAGGGTGCATATAACACACGAGTGTGTATTATACATGAATAAATAAGTCTTGTGTACATTGATCAATCGGAAGGGGTGCTAATTGGGATTGTTCACTAGCCAATATATTAGCAAATATTGCCGTGGGCGCTTATTAGAGCGGGGCGCTTATTACGTCGAATACGGTAGCTGAAAAACTTCTCACAACTGCTTAAAACCCAATTGCTCGCTTGTTTAAGGTAATGAATTGTATGTCCAGTGTTGAGCTTGAGGTCCTATGGTTTCAGCACCAAGAGGGTGGATCACAGCAATACACGCCTTGCCTCACAGATCGAGAGAAATCCAGGTGTGTTTGCTTATCTTGTACCAGTTGTGAATCCTTCAGAAAATAACCTTATGGTGTAAAAGGTAACTTAAAGCCTCATTGTCCTACTGGAAGACTCAACACTTATTCATACACTCATCCATCCATCAAGAAGGTATATTCGATGTCTCCATTTCATTTGAGTATTCATCATCATTCTGCCATGACATTAAATGATGATCTATTTTGATTGGTTAATTTTCTGAATTTGAAGTGGTTAATGAGCGATAACCACTTCCGACAGCATCACTGCACTGAATACATGAGCAAGAAAAGAGTCTTGTTTTAAAAAAGCATTTTTGTATTGGTATTAACAATGGCGATAAACCGAGTTGGTTTTACATTTTGAGGTGATTCATGATTGATTAAATACCACAAAGTGTAATATTAAGCAGTATTTAATCAATGAAGAACCACCTGAAAATTTATATCAGAATAGGTTTATCTCCTAATTATACTTGAATAAATAAGCAATCATTCCTCAATGAAAGAGGGGCACAGGTGACCCAGTCATCTAAGGCGCTGTTATTCGCTGTGCAGAGTTGCATCCCTTGGGCACACCGGAAACCTATGATTTGTGGGTTCGAATCCTGGTTCGCCCCGATTATGTTTCTAGGTTTGTCAGCACCATACCCATGCCTGTGGGTTTCGCCTGAGACCTGCATCACTTCGGGTTTTTCTCCCACATTAAGTTGACGCACTGTGATACTGGAATACTGTTAAAAGCGACATTAAACCCAACTCACTCACTCACTCACTCACTCACTCACTCACTCACTCACTCACTCACTCACTCACTCACTCACTCACTCACTCACTCACTTAAATGAAAGAATGAACTGTTTGTTTCCCGCTGCTGCAGGTGCTGATGACAACAACCTCAACTCCATCTTCTATGAGCACCTGACTCGGTCGCTACAGCACAGCCTGTGTGGGGATCTGATGCTGGGACGCTGGGGCAATTACACCCAGGGAGACTGCTTTATCATGGCCTCCGACTACCTCAACGCTCTTGTACATATCATAGAAACAGGCAACGGGCTTGTCACATTCCAGTTGAGGGGGTTGGAGTTCAGAGGTAGGGCCACTGAAATATATATACATGTAATTGGTAATAACAATGTGTTGTGCATAGTTTGTGTGTGTGTCAGTTATGAGTCGAGAAATGCATATATTACAAAGAAAGTAAAAATATTGTATTCAATTTTTTGTTTTGTTTTTGTATTACGTAATTGAAAATATTATCTACACAGGAGATATATAATATATTTTCATTTCTTTGTAATTATCCCCCGCCCAACAAAGTTGGTGAGGGATATAGAAACGGGCTCCGTCCGTCCGTCCGTCTGTCCTTACGTCCGTCACGTTTCGTTTCCGGAGCATAACTCAGAAACCGTTCAATATTTTTTCATCAAACTTTGCAGGTCTGTCAGGTGCATGCTGAACTGGTGCCTTTTGCGATTTAGAAATTTTAGACATTTTTATTTTTACGTTTCCTTGGCAACAAGATGGACTTAGGTTACAAACTCTTCTTTTTTTCACAATTTCCATGACAAGTTCCACCTCGGTTAAAAAAGGTTAGGGTTTGTTGAGATTTAATTATGTCATAAATTCTGCAACAGGGGTGGGGGATATAGCCACGTTAGTGGCAAAACTCTTGTTTTTCTGTGTTTAGAAAAGGAATGTGTAACATGCTAGGGCAGGGTACCACCTTGCAGTGTACTATTGTTGATGATGTCTGTGTTACAGGTACCTACTGTCAGCAGAGGGAGGTGGAGGCTATCACAGAGGGAGTGGAGGAGAATGAAGGTAGGTCCAACGTCCCTAGCATCATGATGCCTTTCAGGACCCTTTCCCACAGCAAGATCTGAGTGCTAATTTACTGGAGCTACTTGCACGTTTTTACCCAGTCACCTGTATAAGGCAAGACAAATCAATGCACAGAGGTCCATGCCTTAGACGTGCAAGAAACCTGCTATTAGTAATATAAGTAATATTCTCCCTGATTATGTTTCTATTTTTTTTAGCGCATCCTCTGAGTTTCACAAAAAGTGGTAAACGTCTAAGACGTGCATCTCACTCCCTTGCACATTTTTACCTTTACACTAACAGTCTGTTGCCTGTGAAGACCTATGTCTCCCTGTTACTATATTCTGTTTAGTGGGGAAGTGAAACTAAATCTGTGATGGAAGGGTCAAGGTCACTGTGGTCATCCTATCTGTTTTCAGGATTCTGTTGTTTTGAGCCAGGCCACTTACCCCATTTCTTGTCTCTGAACGCGGCTTTCAATCAGCGGTGGTTGGCATGGGAGGTTGTGGTGACAAAGTATGTACTGGAGGGCTACAGCATCTCGGACAACAGTGCCGCCACAATGCTGACAGTCTTTGATCTCAGGAGAGTGCTCATCACGTATTACATCAAGGTAAATTATCAAATAAATAAAGTTAGAATCACATTGCCCAGTAACACCTGACTGAAAAGTGGTTTGATCTCCTGCAGGGTCATACCAAGAGACAGCAAAAGATGGTACTTGTTGTTACCCTGCCTGGCACTAGGCATTAATGGGGTTAAAATAGGGACTGGTCGGCTCGGAATCAGAATTTTGTGTCTGAGTGGGCTAGCACTATAAAATCAGATTAGTCCTGACTAGCACAAGCAACCACACACACACACATACATACACGTCACTTTTTAAATGCAATAATCTTGGACACAGTGTTAAACCCTATTTCACCTCACCTCACATCACTGAAAAGGGGATTGTATGTTTCCTGGCTTATTGTGTGTCACCATTTCATACACCACATATGTGGAGTGTTGCTGATGCTGTCGACCACTAGGTTGCCTGGTCAAGACTTGTTTGTTTAAAGGCTGCAATGATATGTCTGTACTACTGTCGACTGCAGTGTAAACCAACTTTTGACATTCACTTGGTAATTTTGTGATATAACTGATGATATATAACTGATATGGGCTGGAATATTGCTGAGTGGGGCATTAAACAACAAACAAACAAATGATACAGCTTGAACATTGCTGACTGGCAGTTTATGACCTCTGTAGTGACCATACTGTATTATTAATCTACAGAGTATAATATATTACACTGTGCGGTCACCGAGACTTGAGCAGTGGCTGACAGACGAGGCCATCAGGGAGGCTTTGCAGACCACCACCGATGATGACTACACCGACCTTGACCCCACCTTCAACATGCATGTAGATGACGACTACGACACCAAACTGTCCGGCATTTCCAGACGCTCCTTCTGTGCGGTGTATCTTCAGTGGATACAGCACTGTGCATCACGCAGGGAGAATGTAAGTGTAGAAACATACCTGTTGGTTTATGTTGGTGGATTGTTTGCCACCCATTGTAAAGAACAAAATAATGTCCTTTTAGATTGGGGGCTGTGGGGTAGCCTAGTTGTTATCCACGCCGAAGATTCCCCACGTGGGTACAATGTGTGAAGCCAATTTTCCTGTGTCCCCAGCTGTGATATTTGCTGGAATAATGCTTAAAGTGACGTAAAACCATACTCACTCACTCAGTGAAACATTTTTGGTAAACAAACATCATGATGGCAAATTGTGCACTTTAACTGCAATGAAAACAATTCTGTTGATGTTGCAGTAAGGTTTTATCATTGCAGTGATAGTGTTTTATGAAAACATTTTGAATGACAACTTGTGCACTGTAACTGTAAGGATGTAAGAATCTGTAGCTGTGAATCCACATAGAGATCCGAGTTAAAATACCGTATTCGACGTAATAAGCGCCCCGCTCTAATAAGCGCCCACGGCGATATTTGCTAATATATTGGCTAGTAAACAATCCCAATCAGCACCCCTTCCGATTGATCAATGTACACAGGACGTATTTATTCGTGTGTAATACGCACAATATGGGCAATTAAATTCTTGTAAAAAAAAAACTTTCGTATGTAAACACTTCAGGCTGTTGGCATAAACAACGAAATTTACAATCTTTCAACTCAAAATAATATTCTAATAAGCGCCCCCTATTTCTAATTTTGAGAGCGCCCTGGGCGCTTATTACGTTGAATACGGTACCCATACTTGTGCCCCATAGAGATCTGGGTTAGAATTGGTCTTCAGCAACCGCTGCATGTCATTAGAGGCGACTTACAGGATCAAGTGGTCAGGCTCGCTGACTTGGTTGATGCATGTCATCTTATCCCAAATGCTTAGATCGATGCTCATGATGTCAATCACTAGATTGTCTGGTCCAGGCTTGATTATTTACTGAGCGCTGAGTGTGGCATTAAGCAACAAATGTAACTAATTGTCACTGTCAGAATCTGTATTGATGTAGTAGGGCCTGGGTGCCGTTGTACAAAGCGATCGTAGCCCTAAGGTGATCGTTACTGCCATACCTTAACATAGACTTACAACAGTCGTAGCGCTAAGGTTGTTTTGTACAACGCCACCCTGGTCAATGCAGCCTGCTCTGTATGTGGAAAAGTCCAGATATGGCATCCCAACTTCCTTGTACTAATATGTGAATGTCCTACTGTGTATGGTGCTGTGATGATTGTACCGTGTGTTGCAGAGTGTGGACAGTGATAAGGGCTCCATGCTGGTATCTCTGTGCTACAGCCTCAGTCTCCTGGGTCGCCGTGCCCTAGCTTATGCCTCTCACAACAGTGCCTCAGCAAGGTCAGTCCACAGGAGTCACAAGTTTCAAGCGTGAGTTAGTTGACGTTAAGTAGCCCTACTGCTGTGTAGCATACACATGTACATACACCATCCCAGTCAGTCATACACAGGCACATTACGTATGTACAGAACATACATAACATTGCTACATACATATATATATACCTCTAAGAGTCTACTGGTCAGGTTCAGAGACTTGTCGGATTGTGTGTCATCGAATCCTATTGAGGCTATAATAAATTAATTACTAGATTATTATCCCTACCCCACATCTTTGTTATTTCTGTGATCTATTATTCATACCAAGGTGTCCAGTCTTAAACTTGACAACTTTAATAAAAAATAAAAAATAAAAATCCTCCCTCCCCACTTTTGAAAAAAAAGCTGATTATAATCTAGCAACTAATTTATTATGGCCTGATAGTGTGGTGGCTGACTGCATTGTCACAAAGTTACTACCTTGACACAAATCTTCTATGCTGCCTTTGTTATGTCATGCAATTCTTCTATGCTGCCTTATATTGTGCAAATCCTATATCCAGATGTTAAAGAAGTTCCTGATTGTTTCCCTTCTGTTGATATCTATGTGTGTGTAGGTATACTGCAGTAGGGCTGTTGTATCTCAACTCACACTGGAAACTTATCATGCCTGTGAGGGAGGTATTTCATTGTTAGAAATAGTGATGTGAGAGAGATTTACTTTAATAACATTTCAGGGCTACTTCTTGCCCTTCATCAGGTGAATACGGATACCTCTTCCCCCTTCGTCATAGTATCAGTATTCACCTGATGAGGGAGCAAGAAGTAGTATCAATATTCAACTGATGAAGGGGCCAGAAGTAGTATCAATATTCATCTGATGAAGGGGACAGAAGTAGTATCAATATTCATCTAAAGAAGGGGCCAGAAGTAGTATCAGTATTCACCTGATGAAGGGGCCAGAAGTAGTATCAATATTCATCTAAAGAAGGGGCCAGAAGTCGTATCAGTATTCACCTGATGAGGGGGCAGAAGTAGTATCAATATTCATCTAAAGAAGGGGCCAGAAGTCGTATCAGTATTCACCTGATGAGGGGGCCAGAAGTCGTATCAGTATTCATGTGATGAAGGGACAAGAAGTAGTATCAGTATTCACCTGATGAAGGGACAAGAAGTAGTATCAATATTCACCTGATGAAGGGGCCAGAAGTAGTATCAGTATTCACCTGATGAAGGGACAAGAAGTAGTATCAGTATTCACCTGATGAAGGGACAAGAAGTAGTATCAGTATTCACCTGATGAAGGGACAAGAAGTAGTATCAATATTCACCTGATGAAGGGGCAAGAAGTAGTATCAATATTCACCTGATGAAGGGGCCAGAAGTAGTATCAGTATTCACCTGATGAAGGGACAAGAAGTAGTATCAGTATTCACCTGATGAAGGGGCAAGAAGTAGTATCAATATTCACCTGATGAAGGGGCCAGAAGTAGTATCAATATTCACCTGATGAAGGGGCCAGAAGTAGTATCAGTATTCACCTGATGAAGGGACAAGAAGTAGTATCAGTATTCACCTGATGAAGGGGCAAGAAATAACATCATTACAAAGAATAAAGATATTGTTATCCCTAAAAATGTTTCAAGTTCTAAATGCCTATCTAAGACTTCATATGAAAGATAATTGCTTATATGGGTGTGTTTTATGTCTTTCAGTGTTGATTTCTTCCTGTTCGGCCTCCATGCCCTGTTTAAGGGGGACTTGCGGATCACCTCTCAGCGGGATGAGTGGGTGTTTGCCGACATGGAGATGATGAGGAGGGTGGTGGCACCAGCTATCAGAATGTCACTCAAACTCCACCAGGTAACCTACTAACGATGGACCTGTGGAAAGTCCGGGTTAGATTTCACCCCAGCAAACAATACTTGTCCAATGATGTTATGTATTGGGTGGTCAGGTTGGGAGACTTGGTTGCTGGCGTGTCGATGGCATGGTTCGTTGCTCATAATATCAATCACTGGTTTGTCTGGTTTGACTTGATTATTTACAGGCCTCTGTCGTATTGCTGGAATATTGCTGAGTTCAGTGTTAAACAACAAACAAGCAAATTTTGATTGATTATATTGACACCTTTATCAAGAACCAATTATGGACCAGAGTTTATGTTCGCAATAACGACCACAGCCACAATATAGCTTGGACTTTTCTTATCAAACAGAAATTTTGTGTTATTGAAGGTGCATGGCATTGTATTAAGTAATTGACAAATGTGACAAACACAATAAGTAAACAGTCACTTCATTTCTACATGAATGTCAGAATTCAGGACAGAAAAGGTCCTAAATAACCTATGCTTGTTCCTGCCCGAGGGCGGAAAGTTGGTGGTTGAATTCTAAATAGATGTCATACCAAAAAGACATTAAAAGATGTTACTTGTTGTTTCCTTGCCTAGCACTTGGCATTAAGGGATAAGACAAGGACTGGTCACCTAAGACTCATATACTGTGTCTGAGTGGGGCTTCCACGTTAAACTATGGCTTGGTTTCCCAGTGGGCTGGCACTATAAAAACGTACATACACATTGCTATATAAGTGCAATAATCTTGACAGCAACGTTAAACCCCATTTCACCTCACTTAACCAATGCTTTTCAATAGAGGTGACCCAGCTGGTTGCAGTGTGTGACCTGGTTGATTGTGTGTCACTGTGTGTGTGTGTGTGTGTGTGTGTGTGTGTGTGTGTGTGTGTGTGTGTGTGTGTGTGTGTGTGTGTGTGTGTGTGTGTGTGTGTGTGTGTGTCAGACAGTGTGAGACCTGTGAAGATCTGGGTTAGAATAGGTTTTGTTGTAAGAGGCGACTATACTTGTCATAAGAGGCGACTAACGGGATTGGGTGGTCACAGTCGCTGACATGGTTGATGCGTGTCATCGTATCCCAATTGCCAGGATTGATGCTCATGATATCTGGTCCAGACTCGATTATTTACAGACCACTGTCATCCAGCTGAAATATTGCTGAGTGTGATGCTGATGATATCTGGTCCAGACTTGATTATTTACAGACAACTGTCATCCAGCTGAAATATTGCTGAGTGAGTGAGTAAACAACAGAGAAACAAACACACAGTGTTAAGTAGTACTTGTGCATGCAACCACTGCCTTGCCTGTGAGTAGTTGATTATTTTCATGTTGTCGTGACATGGCTGTAATATTGCTGACTGTGATGTAAAACAACTTTCATTCACTTTACTTGAAAGAATCTGTAACAGCTCAACTTGTTTGACATTGCAGGATCACTTCACATCCCCTGAGGAGTATGAAGATCCCCGTGCCTTGTACGATGCCATCACTTCCCATGAGATGAACATGGTCATATCACATGAGGCTGACCCGGCCTGGAGGAATGCGGTGCTCTCTAATGTCCCTTCACTTCTAGCCCTCCGGTAAGGTCAAACCTAGATCTGCTCTCTAATTATCCCCCGCCGCGCGAAAGCGCGAAGCGGGGGATATAGTATTCACGACCGTCCGTACGTACGTCCGTACGTCCCACCTGTTTGTTGCCGCGATATCTCAAGAACTAAACACTGGATTGTCTTCATATTTGGAACTATGGTGTATATACAGACTCCGCAGACACCAGTCGGTTTTGGTGACCTTGATCCCATTTTCAAGGTCACAGCAGACAAATCTGCTTTTAGAGTTGGAAAACGGTGTTGCCGCGATATCTCAAGAACTAAACACTGGATTGTCTTCATATTTGGGACTATGGTGTATATACAGACTCCGCAGACACCAGTCGGTTTTGGTGACCTTGACCCCATTTTCAAGGTCACAGCAGGCAAATCTGCTTTTGGAGTTAGAAAACGGTGTTGCCGCGATATCTCAAGAACTAATCGCTGGATTGTCTTCATATTTGGAACTATAGTGTATATACAGACACCGCATACACCTGTCAGATTTGGTGACCTTGACCCCATTTTCAAGGTCACAGCAGGCAAATCTGTTTTTGGAGTTGGAAAACGGTGTTGCCACAATATCTCAAGAACTAATCGCTGGATTGTCTTCATATTTGGTACTATGGTGTACAGGCGGGGGATATTTCGTCACTCTGTGACAAATACTTGTTTCCTCTCTGTAAGGACAGTCTAGCTCTCTAATGTGCATTCCAGCCCTTGGATACAGGCAGGTCTAGCAGTGCTCTCTAATGACCCTGGTGGCATTAGGGTAGCCTAGTGGTTAAAGCGTTTGCACGCCACGCCAAAGACCGTGGTTCGATTCCCCACATTGGCACAAAGTGTGAAGCCCATTCCAGGTGTACCCTGCCGTGATATTGCCTGGATATTGCTTAAAAGAGGCATAAAACCATACTCACTCATTCTAATGTCCCTTCACATACAGCCTACCAATACAGACAGGTCTAGCAGTTCTCTCTCATGTGTCTTAAGTTCCTAACCTTCTCTGAGTTGTTGTGTGGCCTAGTGGCTGAATGTGTGCAACGTGTGAAGCCTTTTCGTCAAGCATTACTAACTGCTGTGATATAGTTGGAAAAATGTCTGATTGTGTGTTGAAGCAGCAATTTTTCACCCACTCATGCTATAACTGTGCTGCATTGTGTTCCAGTCATGTGTTTGATGAAGGATCAGATGAATACAAGATCATCATGCTCAACAAGAGATACCTCAGCTTTAGGGTTGTCAAGGTGAGGAGAGATAGTGTCATTTTGACAGTTTAGACCCATAGGTAAAAACACAAAATTAAGCACCATCTAAAGGTGGGAGCTCTAACATAGCTTAGTGAAAAGAGTGTGCTGAAATAGGTTTGGTCAACACTTTTGCTTATGCTTTTGATGTGGAAGGAATCATACACTCTGCCCGAAACTATTGAGTCTACTTGCCTGAACTTGGTTCTAAGCATTATTTTTGGTTGATTTTATCGTTCTTTAAGTTTAGTGAATACCCTTCCTCATAGCCCGATGTGATAGAGGTAGTAATCTTTCAATTATTAACAATGATAACTATTGTTTGTTATCTGAACTATTATTAGCTTAGGTTTGATCAGAATTTTAATAGACTAGACTGGTGGCTAAAGTAGCAGACTAATGCGGTGTTACTGTCATTTTGCCATGAGTTTGTTAGTGTGTCTGAGGTTCGTGAACTGTTACCACTACGTTTCCAGGTGAACCGTGAGTGTGTCCGAGGCTTGTGGGCAGGGCAGCAGCAGGAACTCATCTTCCTAAGAAACCGAAATCCCGAGCGAGGCAGCATCCAGAACGCGAAGCAGGCTTTGCGTAACATGATCAACTCCTCGTGTGATCAGCCGATCGGCTACCCCATCTACGTGTCCCCCCTCACCACCGCCTACTCCTCCACTCACCAGCAGCTGGCTGCCATCATCGGGGCAGAGTTCATCCTTGCCAATGTCAAAAGGTTCTTTCAAAATGTTTGGAAAAGGTGGGTTGATTTACTCAGATTTGGGGTTCAGAAGTCTGTTTTGTCGTCAATCTTGTTCCTGGTTCTGTGTCTCTGGGTGCTGTTCCACAAGGCTGTTGTAGAGTGTTATTGTTGCTACCCAAATAGTTCAACATCGTTTGAACAGTCAAACCAGGCATGGTGCTTGATAATTTTGTAAACGGGACCCTGTGTGAATACTAGATTAATTGAGCTAATTTGGGGGAAAAGCGTTATTATCTGCAGTTTGTGCATACTGCACATTGTTGCATAGTCAGCAAGAAATGTTTTCTTTTTAGTTTTAGAAGTGCTTATATGTATTCCTGTAAATGAAAGAATGGATTGTTTGTGTCAGATTGAGGCGGCGATGTGATGCAACGTGTGCAGGGGGTAGTTCAGCATTCCAGGACGACCACATGTACAGCGTCAGTCCCCCTCATCAGTACGCAGCAGCAGCAGCTCTAGGTAAGTAGTCCCCCTTGTGTTCCATGTGAAAACCCCAGCAGAATAGGTCCTGTATCCCCTGTGCTAGACCACATGTACAGCGTCAGCCCCCCTCATCAGTACGCAGCAGCAGCAGCAGCTCTATTTGGGTAGTCTCCCTTGTGCCCCATGGGGAATCCCCAGCCCAAGAGATCCTGTGTGCCCCGTGCTAGACCACATGTACAGCGTCAGCATCAGCAGCAGCTCTAGGTCAGCCTTGTGCCCCATCCTTGTGTAGATCCTGTGTCCCCAGTACAGTTCTGAACAGGTCTAGGTGAATAGTCCCCCTTGTGCCCCATGGGGAATCCCCCCAGCCCAAGAGATCCTGTATCCCCTGTGCTAGACCACATGTACAGCGTCAGCCCCCCTCATCAGTACGCAGCAGCAGCAGCAGCTCTATTTGGGTAGTCTCCCTTGTGCCCCATGGGGAATCCCCAGCCCAAGAGATCCTGTGTGCCCCGTGCTAGACCACATGTACAGCGTCAGCATCAGCAGCAGCTCTAGGTCAGCCCTTGTGCCCCATCTGGAATCCCCGGCAGAGTAGATCCTGTGTCCCCAGTACGAGACACTTCAACTGAGGATCAGATGGTTGTGATGTGACCTGGCTGGTTTGTGCCTGAGCATGAGTTGTTGCTTATGCTGTCAACCACTGGCTAACCCATCCCACACTCAATTATTTGCAGCAAAGTGCAGCCATGATATTGTCAACTGTATTGTCAAATGCAGCATAAAACAAAGTTAATTCAATCACTTAAATTATCAGAGAAGGAAAATATTACCATGTGCATAGTCTCAAGGATGGATATGTGCATATTCTCAAGGATGGATATGTGCATTGTCTCAAGGATGTTGTTTTTATATGGATCATCTCATATATTTTGTCGGGCGGTCGGGTAGCCTAGTGGTTAAAGCATTCGCTCGTCACCCGACATGGGTACAATGTGTGAAGCCGATTTCTGGTGTCCCCTGCGGTGATATTTCTGGAATATTTCTAAAAGCGGCATAAAACCAAACTCACTCACTCACTCACTCATATATTTTGTCGTTCAGGTTCAACATGTTCGGGCCCAGGGTCGACTCCCACTAACCAGCCTCAGGACATCCCCCTCCAGAGTCTAGGTAACCGAGGGAGCCTCATCTCCACCGCCAGCACTGCCAGCAAACCCAGTGCCCTGGCCTCTCTAGCCAACCTCATCGGGGACTCCGCAGCAAATAAAGACCCCCTGCCTCACAGAGTCAGGGTGAGGGCATTGATATATCATGTAGTAGAAACTAACATTCTTAGTTCACTAGTCCTTATAATGATAGCATATAGCAAAACCCTTAAAAATGGAACATTTCTACTCATCCTTATGATACCTTAACTATTTTGCATTTTGGCAAGGACTACAGGACTAGTGCCAATTTCTAGCGCTGTCAGATATTTTACTCCTATTCGATTCCTTTCTCCTTCAAGATCTGACAAACATTCCATAGGAGGTCACATCAGATATACCCTTAATCAGCCACTAAGTGTGAACGAGAGTTGAAATACTCTCAATATGAATAGGTGTAGCATTTGGAGCACCATATCTTTACGTTAAAAACAATTGTAAACAGGCAGTTCCGAATGGAGAATAATATAGGCCATGCTATATATTTTGTGGGTAATATATATACGCTGTTATTTCTAAGCCCTATATCATCCATGCCCAAGACGGTGTACTGTTGAGAAATTTTGTTTTTTTGTGTTATTGGGTGTGTGGTTAACTTTGCTCAAGTGATAGATTAGTTATGCTTTCTAGGCCAGCATGTTGACAAATAGATAATGGTCACTGCGATTCACATCCATTCCCCTTCTCCTTTCATCAACTGCCTCTGTGGTGCAGTGGATAGAGCATCTGCCTGGAGAGAAGTAGGTCGTGGTTCGATTCCCTGGCCGCGTCATACCGAAAGACGTTAAAAGGTGGTACTTGTTATTACCCTGTCTAGAGCTCGGCATTAAGGGGAAAACGACTAGCTAGGATTTAGTATAATGTGTCTCATTGGGGTATTCATGTTAAAACTGCAGCATTGTGTCTAGCTGGGCTAGCTAGCAATATAAAATTGTGCAAGTCTAGACTAGTACAAGTAGCCATAGACATAATCTTGCAGTGAAATAATCTTGCATGTGACATAAGGCCCCATTTCACCTCAGCTTGATATCTCGATTCCCATGTAGTGATTCAGTTTGTAAACCAATGTATGTCTATTTGTGACAGGTCCTGGACACCAGTCATGTGTTTGATACTGTCAACCTTGGAAGGAGAATAGATGTCCAGTGGCCAAATGAGGAATGGCGTCAGCATGGAGGCAAGAATACCTGGAGTGACTGGACGCCCTGTAAGGGCATGGAGGGGATTGTGGTTCATCGCTGGGTGCCAGGTCATCGCGACCCCAACCGGCGCTCTCATGTAGACAAAACAATATTATTGGTTCAGGTTGGAGAACATTATGTGCCAATAGCAGAGAACGGTATCACAGACTTAGGTGCGGAAGTATGACAGCGGGGGAGATGTGCTTTTACTACCTGTGATAATTTAAAATAAAGTCCTAGATTGTGGCTGTGTGTGTCCGATTGGGCCAGAAGAATAGTCAATGATCAAGCAGGAAGTGTGCGGCGGTAGAGTGATGAGCCACGGAGGTGTGTGACGTGTGTTCACAGTGTGAGAAGTTATGAACATACAGGAAGTACACTGTTTCCCTCTTGGATTCAGTGATATAGACGTGGGATTATGAGTGTCCAGTGTTATGCCATGGAGAGACAGGGCCAATAGGCACTGCGTGGAACATTTGTGGAAGATTGACCTGAGTGGAAACATGCCCTGAAGCTTTATTGACCTGTTACAGCCTAATATATTACTGTCAGGTTTTGAAATGTTTCATGTGACAGTTGTCTGCCTCTTGATGTGTGGATTGAGGATTATTGAACATCACCTTGTCATGCTTATGTATAGGATCCTCTTTAAATTTTCATATGAACTTACCAGTACTAGAAAGGTCAGATTATATATAAAAAAAGTGGTCATAGCAATGTTGTGTTTTTAGAAGGAATGTGTATACAATTATGATCACTGTTAAGTATGACCAAATAATAATTACTGAAAGTGCAATTGAAACAGATTCTGGTGTTGCCCCATTGTTCTATGATCTAACCGGGTCAGAAGAATGGAGTTTATGTCTACATGTTCCGATGATTTCGTAATGTCATCGTCATTCTGGACCTACTACAGGTGACATGCCAAAGACACAAAAGGTTTAAGAATTCCATATGTGTTTTTCTTTGTCAACTAAGGGTTTATTTGTTTTAATTTCAAACTTGATTGATATTAGTGTGGTTGTGATTCCAAGCAGAGATCATGCAAGCTAAATATGTAATGCTGTTTTATCTGATTGAATCAGTCATATCCACATCAATTTTCAGAACCCTGTTTCACAAGGCAATGTTAGTGCAAAGACTAGTAGGTCTATGATTGAGTGCAAATAAAGTATAGGCTTTACAGTCGCTGCAACACTGAACAGGGACTTTGTGTTGTGGAACAGGGCCTTGATCAAATGTTTCAAAATCATTAGAGGATATAAGTTTGGTTAGTTCTAAGCTGTGAAAGTCTTCAAGATGGGGTTTTCAGAGCAAGTGTGTCCAGGCTTACTTGGTTTTGCTGTGCTCAATTACTTCACCATATTTACATATCTACTGGAACCTGCTGCTGGGCATCAGTGTGTTGGTTTATACATGGTTGATACTGTTAAGTTACAGGGTCGCAGTGTTGTATAAATATCATATTCAACTGTTACAAGCTCCCCGGGTGCTTCAGAAATTGACAAAGGAGGGCGCTTGTTAAAACCATACACAATGAGTAAAGTGTGTTTTCAGAGATCGAGCAGTTGTGAACATCAATGGAACTTAAAAGCTTTGTATAATAGTTGCAAGGCAATTATGTACCCTCCTGCGCTGCTGTTTTCTGTAATATACACAAGAAAATGTGGACACTCATAAAACATTCTGTCTTTGTAGGGTATACTTATAGAGATTAAAAACAGATAGGTCTTGACGATGTTCAAGGCCTTATTGGAGTATGGTTGGTAACCTGGCGAATACAGTACTGTTACTTGTCGTCTAATCAGTGACTACCATCCAATGTGTGACCGGGCAGTAAGTCTACAGTAATTCGAATCTTTCTGGGCTAAATTAGAATGTGCAAGACTATTGTGACAGTTTTTCCTATTAATCTGACAATAATTTCATAAATGATCCCCAAATATGAAGGGCATGTTTTGCTTTTGCATATTACCTACTGCCTACAGTAAGTCTTAAGAAAGACAGTCTATTAATCTCCATTGTCAAATGAGTCTGTATTTACACCTGTCTTAAGAGACACACTTGTCAGTAAACCAGTAAATAACAATTTCATATTTAGAAACAACTATTTACAGTGGAAACCATGATGTAGTCATGTAGAAAGAAAGAGTTTAAGCAAAACTGGCGAAGTAAGATGTTTAAGCTGCAAGAAATTAATTACTTGTTTGTCAGAAAGAGTGCAACCCTAGCAGGCGCAGGGCATTGTCATATGGAATATGGTTCTATAAACATTCTAAATGGTTCCAAAATATTTCCCTGGCCCAGAAAGCTCACAGTGGAAAGAGAATTATGTAAGGAGAAATTGTGTATTTCCATAAATAAATTTTAAATATCAGACATCTCAACAAATATCAGCGTTGGTGTAATCACCTGCAAAGAGAACTTCTTGATTTCTGTTCTGTATATTAGAATATGTTGTTATCACATGGTGTGGGTGGGGGGACTCTTGATCTATTCCATGCTTGTCACCAGAATCTTATTAACAAGGAAATAATTTGTTGTGGCAGTCAGTTTAATTCCACTTTGGTGTAAAGATAAAAAGAAAAGTGACCTTGTGAGCAGAAAGATGTAAGAAATTGATCTTATTGGTTTTAAAAATATTGTTGTGAAATTTTTTTATCTTCTTAATACAGTATGTAACTATGTACTAAGTAGCTAAATTTTAGATTTCCAGAAGCTTTTTACGTTAGAATAACAGCACAGTCTGAACTGTCACTTTTGTATGATGCTTTACAGTTGGAACAGATACCATATCAAGGGGAGATCACTCCGAACACCAAACCTACAGGCTCCCAGGAGTCCTGTGAGAAGGGGCCAAAGAGTACTGAGATTCATACGAGTGTTCCATTAAGGGTGATGATTTATTTAAACTTGCTCAAGTATATGAGTGTGTTTACTGATGGACCATGCTCTATTATCCTGTGTAGTATGTCTCCATTCTATTAGAATATATGCTCTGGACCCAACACATCTTCATCTCAATCTGTCTAATCTTTCTCAAAACAGAATATCTCTCTCTCATGAGCTTCAAATCAAGAACCAATCAAAATATCTCTTATAACGCAAGTTCATCATAGACCTACATTAAAAATCGTAATCTTTTATGTGAAAACCTTTGATGTTTTCCTGAGTATTTTAGCCAGGGGAGGAATGTCATTAAGCTACCAGCATTAGACGGCGCGCAACAAGGTAAGTCAAGTATATAGCTTGTTTTGATCATGACATTTCATTGGATGGCTATTTATTGTTGTCATTCAACCCAGACTCAAAACGAGTCGCTATATGGCTGAAATAATGCTGATGCAACATTAGATTTTAAATTTTACCTCACTCACCCAAAACGAAGCGAAGATTGTGAATGGGTCCAAGGTATTTATCCTAATAGAATGGAGGTCTGATATGATTGATAATTGAGGATGCTGGTGGACCACAACTCTGCCAACCAAAGATGTAGTTTTAAAGAGAAGGATGTTCTTCTGTTGTGTGTGTTAATTGTACCTGAGTGCAGACATAGAAACTCCGATGTTACTCTCTGTGAGACTGTGCCTCTTTCATTCTTACTCCGATGTCATGTATGGTGCTTCACACATCATATGCTCATGTTTAAGCTGTGAAACTGTAGCTATGTACTGCTCTCCTTTTACTACTATTGGTTAGGGAATGTTCTTTTATTATAGGAGAGAGAGAGTGTGCGTGCTAGAGAGAGAGAGAGAGAGGGTTTGGGAGACATGAGAATATGAGAAAGAGGGGGTTTGTCACGATGTATGAAAAAATGACAGTTTTGTTTTTCAAATAAAACATGTCATAATTTAAACATTCAGGACTGGTCATTAATTTGGTGGGTGGGTGGGGGGGGGGGGGGGGGGGCGGTTCAAAGAGCTTGGAGTTTGCAGCTATGTTCACAAGCACTGTTCAAGTCATTTTGAAGAATAGCTTTGACATTTTTTGTATTCCTCACTTCTTAACCACATAGGGGCGGTCGGGTAGCCTAGTGGTTAAAGCGTTCGCTCGTCACGCCGAAGACCCGGGTTCGATTCCCGACATGGGTACAATGTGTGAAGCCCATTTCTGGTGTCCCCCGCCGTGATATTGCAGGAATATTGCTGGAATATTGCTAAAAGCGGCGTAAAACCATACTCACTCACTCACTCTTAACCACATGGTGACAAGTACACTGAGATATGAACCAAAACACATACATGTGTTACATAGGTTAGTGTGATCACCTAGTGGTTAAAGCTCCCTCACTGGGTTCTGTCCCTTATGGGTACAATGTGTGAGGGCCAGAATTCCTTTGAATACCTTACCTCTATTACACCATAGCCATTCATTCTTTATAAAATCTTTAGACATTCTCTTCAATGCAATACATATCTAATAGTAATGAGGAAAACTATCCTCTGTACTAATGGTGTCTCGGGGTGGTTGGGTAGCCTAGTGGTTAAGCGTTCGCTCGTCACACCAAAGACCCGGGTTCGATTCCCGACATGGGTACAATGTGTGAAGCCCATTTCTGGTGTCCCCCGCCGTGATATTGCTGGAATATTGCTAAAAGCGGCATAAAACCACACTCACTCACTCACTAATGATGTCCCCCACTGTAGTGTTACTGGAATATCGCTCAGAGCAGCATTAAACCCAGCTCACTCACTCACTCACTCACTCACTCACTCACACTGAAAGCAACAGTGGCCATGGAAGGAAAAGTTGACATGTTCTTGTATTCTGGTTCTCTGGTCAACACAAATATCTACTCACTGCCAAGAGAAATGTAAACCATAGAAACATATAGAGCAATATGTACGTTAAGAAGAGATGTTTCCAATGTGTACCAGTTCATGACAAAACTAACAATCACTAAAGTTACCACAGAGTGTCTTTATTCTTATCACTATATGCTGCAGGTGATTTCCAAACTTTACACCTAATTATGCATGAGACAAATGGTTCATCTTGAGTCATCGATCTATCACATCACATGTTATGCGTTCCTGTGCATCGGCTCACACAACATACCAGTATATTAATTTTGATCGATTCATTTGGCATCTACGGGGTAGTGGTGGCATTGCCTAACGGTTAAAGTGTTCGCTCTGCGTGCTGTAGGCCTGGGTTCGATTCCAGACATGAGTAGTGTGAAGCCCATTTGTGTTGTTCCCCATCGTGATATTGCTGGAAATTGCTAGAAGCTGTGTAAAACCATACTCACTCATTCTCTCAATATGAATTGTTACTTGAACAGTACTTGTGAAGGGTTTGACTGATACAGAGTTTGTATCTGATTCTATAAGATCATTAATGTATGAGGAATTCATGGTGACGTATAATTGTTGAATAGCACAATCAGGGCAGTACATAGCCACACTTTTGCAGCTAGCTCATATTGTTGATCCGAGTTTTCAGTTCTCTTGTTATCTTGGACGGAGACGTCGGGACTCTTACCCACATGTTCTTTTCTCTCATCATGGCAGTCTACCATGTACTTGGATTAAGGGGATTGCCCATTTTAGTTCTACTTAATGCCTTTTGTCATGTCATTTTTATAGTTAGTATTTATTGATCGTTCATCAAAACAAGAACAATCAAATCTCACAATGATGATTAGCACAGTTAGTCATTGTGTGATGACAAAAATGATTTATGGAGTATTTAATATATTAATTGTGGTATGACTTTTTATTTGTCTGACAGTGAGGTTTGTTTGTATTGCTGGTTGTTCAGATGTAGGTAGAGTTTATTTATGGAGCACAGATATTTTTCCCAAACTGGTCTTACCAGTTTCCTGGCTATGCATATTTACACACAATGACAGTCACGTACCTTTGAAAAATGTCACGACAAAACTGAGGATCTGTATTTTGGAACCTGTAGAAGGGAGATTGCTGTTGTGATTATTAAGTTAATCTGAACACTAGACCGTGGTGCAGTCGATACAGGATTATTCTGGGGTCACTCAAGATGATGATGTTGATAATAATAATAATAACAAATCCATTTATAATGCGTCAGATCCCATTTACCAAGTGAATGGTCATGGTGCTATGGAGCATATTATTACCCCGGTCTTTGGTTCAATGTGCACTCAAATTTCATTCTAAGCCCCCTGGGGATTATACAAACCAACGAGGGGCTATAAGGTTGGCATTACCATCTTATCCTACCGGGTACCCATTCACTGCTGAGCAAATAGGGGCATATTTCCAACAAAGTCTCTTGCTTAAGAGACACCATATGTAACCTGTGATTTACGGCTGTTGGTAGTGGATGGTACCAACTAAAAAACAACAAGAACAGACAGAACATACAACCTACTTGCCTTAGTATTTTAAAAAATTGGCTGGCCAGTACTGATCAACATGTACAGCAGTAAGGATTGGATTTAGCGTATTCGACGAAATAGGTGCCCAGAGGCTCTCAAAATTAGAAATAGGGGGCTGTTATTAGAATATTATTTGGGTGACAAAAAAAACAACAGTTGAAAGACCATAAAATTTGTAGTTTATGCTGACAGCCTGAAATGTTTATATACGACAGACATATTTTTCCAGAATTTAATTGCCCATTATTAAGAGACATATAACACACAAGTGTATCATAAACGAATAAATGTTGTGTACATTGATTGTTCACTAGCCAATATATTAGAAACTATCACCGGGGGCGCTTATTAGAGCGGGGCGCATGTTCAAGACACCTTGCCATAAAGATATAGTATTGATCAGGTGATTGTGTTCAGGTCATGGCACAAACACAAACAAATGATCAAAAGAAAACTTCTACAGTTGGTCAGTCTAGCCACTGTCAAACAGTATTATTTTGTATAAAGATCTTTAGCCAAGGTTCTGAATAGCAGTGATCAAAATTATAAGATTGCTTTGTGGTTAGACCCAGTGCTATAGAGACATGATCAGATTCTTTTGATGATTTCTGGTTCAGCTAACAAATTCCTGGCCATGAGAAAACAAACAGGCAGCTCCGACACTGACTGCAAATCTGTACTAAGTCATGACAGATTAACAATAGTAATTTGAAAGAATAAGGTTGCCCTTAACTCCTTTGGAGAAGTATATATTAGCACAAATTACAAAGATTTCACTTTCTAGCTCCTATCCAAAAGAACAGATTTCACAATTAATGTAAGTCACTCATTTTCTAATTAATGTTGCTTATCGTCCATCAATATTAAGTTTGTTCACAACCTGGAACAGGTTTGATCTGTTCCCTTCAACTAAGCCATCTTAGCTTTGTGCAGGCGACATGGTGAAGATGAATATGTCTTGGTTCAACTGGTTTTTTATCTTCAAATTTTCTTTGTTCCTAAATTTGTCATATTTGTAAGGTGACACATTAAAGTTACGTTATTGCCTAAGTTTGAAAATATTGACCTGACTTTATCATGTTGACCAGAACTTTCTTTCAGTTCTACAGAAATCTGTTGACAAGTTCTAAAATTATAATTTAAAAAGCAAAATGGCAAAGCATACTGCATAAACAAATTCTGACTATTACAATTATATATATATTCTCCAAATTTAGTAATATGTAAAAATTGGGTGTTCATTACTTCTTTTGAGTAGTATACTTCAACCGTCTGCATATTTCTTGTATCTACTTACGATAAGAAATATCACATAGCTTCTATCATGGGCACAAGTATTTGACTGCATTAATATCCTCACGAATTGTGACGCCCATCTTTGCAGGTCACGCAGAAGCAGTGGCACTAACACATCTACCATAGAAACAAGGTACAAGCCTGTAGTCATTTAAGATAAGCTTGTACACGGTTACAGGTGCAAAAGTATCAAACCTTTGTTCAGTAACCGACACATTTACTATGCAAACATTATCTGATTATTTGGCATGTAAATGAGTTCATTACCCCAGATCATACGTGACCTCGAGAAATCCTTTCACTAATTTTGACATTTTGTCCCCTGCACATGGTTGTATATAGTTGGATTTCAAAATCCATCTTAACTGAAAAAGTATTTTCTTAAGTTGACATTCATGTGTATATTTTGTTTATTATGGCTTATATGATGAGTTTTGTGCCCAAGTATGTTTGTCATTATTGTCTCAGTGTGTTCTTATTGTGTGTGACTGCTATCGACGTGCGTTGACGAATGTGTGGAAAGTCAAACCATTGGTCGGCTGACTGATCTCAGATTTTATCACCATCTGTCATTTCTTGCTTTTTCTTGCTTCACAACCAGCTGGTCGTGCAGTAGGGCAGGCCAGTGGGTAATGTATTGGCTTCTCTCAACAACGACCCATGTCCAATCCTCCATGTAGGTACATACAATTCAAGCTCATTCTTATGTCCCTCAATGATGGTAGGGATGCAATACCACAAACAGTGGCATAAAAACTCACTCACTCACTCAACAACAGATTTGAGTTTTTTTTACTTTGATCTTTGAACACTCCAAAGGTAGGTTTAATTATATTGTTCATAGCAACAACCATGAAATGTCTGTGAAGTTCTTCATAACAAAGTTATGACC